AACTCCTCCCATTATCCTCTCCAGGTATCTTATTCTCCCAGCCTCATTATGTGTCTCAGTCCCTCAGCCCCCTCATGTATCTCATACTCCTAGCCCCCTCATGTATCTCATTTTCCCAACCCCACCATGTGTCTCAATCCCCCATGCCCACAAAGAGCCTCAATCCCCAGCCCCCCATGTGTCTCAGTCCCCCAGCCCCCATGTGTCTCATTCCCTCAGCCCCACATGTGTCTCATTTCCTCTTCTCCCTCCCCCATGTGTCTTACCGCCAGTGTTAGCTTTGGCAGCAAATTTCAATTCAGTTTTAGTCATATTTTTTTTGGCTAGAAAACCATTTTAGTTTTAGTCACATTTTAGTCATTTGAATTGTTTTAGTCTGGTTTTAATCCAGTAAATCTCCAAAATTTTTGTCGACTAAATCTGACAAAAATTGTTAGTTGACAAAATTAACATTGGTCTAAGGCAAAGGAATATAATTTCTAATTAGTGGGGTAATAGCATCTTGATTCAAGGAGATATCTGACTGCTATTTTGGGGTCAAGAAGGATTTTTTTCCTAGTTTGTTGCAAAATTGGAAGTGCTTCAGACTTGTTTTATGGCTTCTTTTGGGTCAACAGCAAAAACATATGTGAGAAAGGCTGACTTTGATGGACGCATGTCTCTTTTCAGCTATGCAACTATGTATGTAACTATGTATGTATGAAAGGTTTTTTTTTTTATAGTAAGAACAACAAGGATATGGAATTCTATGCCTGAAGAGGTGGTTTTATCAGAGTCTATACAGATGTTTAAACATCAATTGGATGACCCCAAAATAGCAATCAGATGTCTCCTTGGATCAAGCAGCTATTACCCCACTAATTAGAAATTATATCCCTGTATGTTATGTTTTTGTAAGTATTTATCCAATTGCAGTTTAAACATATGTAGTGACTCTGACAAAACCACCTCTTCAGGCAGAGAATTCCATATCCTTATTACTCTTACTGTAAAAAAAACCTTTTCTTTGCCTTAGATGAAATCTCATTTCTTCCAGCCTAAATGTGTGACCTCGTGTCCTATGTATAGCCCTGTTTATGAATAGATTTACAGATAAAGGTTTGTACTGGCCCCTAATATATTTGTATAAAGTTATCATATCCCCTCTCAGGCTCCGTTTTTTCCAAACTAAACAGATTTTATTTATTTAACCTTTCTTCATAACTAAAATGCTCCATTCCTTTTATCAATTTTGTAGCTTGTCTCTGGACTTTTTCTAGTGCCATGATATTTTTCTTTAGAACAGGCGCCCAAAATTGCACAGCATATTCAAGGTGTGATCTTACCAGCGATTTATAAAGAGGCAAAATTATATTTTCATCACGAGAAATTATGCCCCTGTTTATACATGACAAAACCTTACTGGCCTTAGCAACTGCAGATTGACATTACATATTGCTGCCTAATTTGTTGTCTATAACAATTCCCAAATCCTTCTCGTGTGTGGTTATCCCTAATTCACTACCATTTAGTGTGTAAGTTGCTTGTGCATTCTTAACCCCGAAGTACATAACTTTGCATTTCTCTACGTTAAATTTAATCTGCCATTTTAGTGCCCTAGTCCCCCAATCTATCCAAATCGCTCTGCAGGAAAGCAATATCCTGCTCGCATTTTATTACTTTACAAAGTTTTGTGTCATCTGCAAACACTGATACATGGCTTTCAATGCCTATTTCAAGATCATTTATAAATATGTTAAATAGAAGTGGTCCCAAAACAGAACCCTGAGGGACACCACTTACCACTTTTGTCCAGCCTGAAAATTTACCATGAATTACAAATCGTTGTACTCTATCCTTAAGCCAATGTTCTACCCAAGAACAAGAACTTTCATCTAGACCAATTTCTTTTAGTTTGAAGACTAACCTATTGTGAGGAACCGTATCAAATGCCTTGGCAAAATCCAAGTAGATCACATCCACTGCAACACCCTGATCTATACTTCTACTTACTTCTTCGTAGAATGCAATTAGGTTAGTTTGACATGACCTATGTTTCATAAAACCATGCTGATTATTGCTAATAACAAAGTTCTTCCCAATGAATTCCTGAATGTTATCCCTTAATAGCCCTTCAAATATTTTCCCAGTTACAGAAGTTAAGCTCACAGGTCTATAATTTCCAGGCAAGGATTTTGAACCCTTTTTAAATATAGGAACAACATCTGCCTTCCTCCAATCCTCTGGTACAACACCTGAAACAAAATCTTGAAAAATTAAATACAGAGGTTCACTTATTTCCCCACTTAGCTTCTTAAGTACTCGTGGGTGAACACCGTCAGGCCCCGGAGCTTTACTTACATTAATTTTCTTCAATAGCTGTAGCACCTTGTCTCGAGTTATCCAATCACAAGTTATCTGCAAGTTTTTTGCAATAATCATTTGCATATCTCTTGCCATAGTATCCTCATTAATATATACTGAAGAAAAATAGTTATTTAACCCCTTAACGACCAAAGACGGTTCAGGACCGTCATCGCCATTTTTGCGTTGCCGACCCATGACAGTCCTGAACCGTCCTAACGGTCCTAGTTACTTACCTGATCGCCGTCGTTCCACCGGCGGCGATCAGCATGGCTCCCGTTGTGGGGAGACTGCCTGCAGCCAAGACAGTCTCCCCACACTGGGTTAGGACCCCTGTGGCCATGTGATCGCTTAACACAGCGATCACATGGTCACAATAGGTGTCCATGTGTCTGCCTGTGCTGACAGGCAGTTTCCCTGCTAGTGTAAAATCATTAAAAAAAAATAGTTAGTGTTAACAAAAAAAAATAAAAAAATATATATATGTGTCTATATATCATATATATATAATGCCATACTAAGTGTATTTTTATATTAATATGTACTTATATTAATATAAAAATACACTTATAATTAAATTACACATGTATATATATAATATATATAATAACTATATATATTGTGTATATATATATTATTATAAAATATAAATAATAAGTAATTTAAATTAAATAAAAATGTTTTTAATTAATAATAAAAAAAATTTAAAAAATTATATATCTTATATATGAAATTTTATTCTAACTGTATTTTAAAATTTATATATATATATATATATATATATATATATTTATATCAAAATACACTTAGAATGAATTTGTATATATATCTATGTATATATAAATAAATAAAAATAATAAAAATATACATATGTCCATATACAAAATTACATAAATAATTATATAAATATACACGTAGACTTCAAATATATAAATATGCATATATATTTAAATTCTACGTGCGTATTTATGTAATATTTTTACATAATTCAGTAATTTTATTGATTGCAATTTGAGGGACCTGCCTGCCAACCCAGGCCGAAATTCCAGAGAATTTAATTTGCTAGCACTGTATTTTACCCTGTAATGTTCTACGACACCCTAAAACCTGTACATGGGGGGTACTGTTTTACTCGGGAGACTTCGCTGAACACAAATATTAGTGATTCAAAACAGTAAAACCTATCACAGCGATGATATTGTCAGTGAAAGTGACTTTTTTTGCATTTTTCACACACAAACAGCACTTTTACTGATGATATAATTGTTGTGATACGCTTTCCAGTTTTTAAACACTAATATTTGTGTTCAGCGATGTCTCCCGAGTAAAACAGTACCCCCCATGTACAGGTTTTATAGCATTTTTGAAAGTTACAAGGTCAAATATATGGGTCAAATACTTTTACATTGAAAATGGCCAGGTTGGTTACGTTGCCTTTGAGAGCGTATGGTAGCCCAGGAATGAGAATTACCCCCATGATGGCATACCATTTGCAAAAGAAGACAACCCAAGGTATTGCAAATGGGGTATGTCCAGTCTTTTTTAGTAACCACTTGGTCACAAACACTGGCCAAAATTAGCGTTCAATTTAGTTTTTTTACTTTTTTCACACACAAACAAATATGAATACTTTGGCCAGTGTTTTCAACTAAGTGGCTACTAAAAAAGACTGGACATACCCCATATTGAATACCCTGGGTTGTCTACTTTAAAAAAAATATGTACATGTGGGGTGTTATTCAGAGATTTATGACAGATAATAGTGTTACAATGTCACTATTGATAAATTTTAAAAATGTATGTTTTGAAACCGCAATATCCTACTTGTACCTATAGCCCTATAACATGCAAAAAAAAGCAAAAAAGCACGTAAACACTAGGTATTTTTAAACTCAGGACAAAATTTTGAATCTATTTAGCAGTTTTTTTCATTCGCTTTTGTAGATGAGTAAAAGATTTTTCAAGTAAAAGTAAAAAAACATGTATTTTTTCAATTTTTCATCAGATTTTTTTATTTTTTTTAAATTAAAATACATGAGATTATATAAATAATGGTATGTAAAGAAAGCCCCTTTTGTCCTGAAAAAAACAATATTTAATTTGTATGGGAACAGTAAATGAGAAAGCGGAAAATTACAGCCAAACACAAACACCACAAAAGTGTAAAAATATGCCTGGTCGCAAATGTACAACATCGCAAAAACAGTCCAGTCCTTAAGGGGTTAATAAATAATATGGACAGACAAAATGACCAATGTTGAATTGCATAGTGTCCCCCGCATAGTTATTTATGATTATATACAAGATGTGACATGAGTAGTGTTATCTCTTGGGTACAAAGCACACAACATTGGAGTGTGGTGGTCTAGTAGGGTATTTAACCCCTATATGATTAGTGTGTGTGCCCAAACTATGTGTAATAGCCTAATTACCATGCATGGAACAAGCAATGGAATGATATGCAATGTATGCAGGGGGAGCATAAATCAAATTATAGCAACAAGACAATCTATACACATTGCTGTATAAACAAATATGTTTTGGATTATTGGATTAGATTAAACAGTGTATTTAACTCCTGCAGGGAAACAAAGAAATGTACTATAGAAACATAGATAATGTGTACTTCTCGTTCAAGCCTCTGGGATATACTGTGTCCAAAGTTTTTATCCAGAACGTTTCACGTTGTAGGAGAAGTTTACTTCGATCACCCCCACGTCTGAGGGGGGTATATGGTCTATAGCCATAAATTTCAGGGTGGGTAACGTGTGGCCATGGGCCAAAAAGTGTTTTGCTACAGGGAGTTCAGCCTTATTGTCCCTATAGGCAATGTGAATGTTGGATCTGTAGTTGCGGATCCGTTCCCTCAGTGGGAGGTCAGTTTTGCCCACATAGGATAGGCCACACGGGCACTGGAGTTTATAGATGACTAAATCCGAAGTGCAGGTCAACCTATGCCTAATTTGGTACTTTCACCCAGTGTGTGGATGCTGGAAGAATTTTCCGGGTATCATGTGGCTGCAGGTGACACAGCCCAGACAGCGATAGCAACCAAGGTTCTGTACTGTTTGTTGTTTGGTATAGCAGTGTACTGGGTTCGTCTTTACCAGGAGGTCACGTAGATTTTTTCCCCCGTTTATAGCACAACATGGGTGGATTCTGAAAGATTTTTGGTAGTGTTGGATCTTCTGATAGTAAACGCCAGTTGGAGTTCAAGGTGTTCTTGAGGCTGTGGGATGACGTATTATAGGTGGTCGGAAAGAAAAGTCGTGGTATATCATCTTTTTTCTCTCTCATAGGCTGTTGGCTCTTATCAAGTGCTTTCTGAAGAGTAGCGTCCTTGTAGCCTCTCTGTTTAAGCCTATTCCATGTTTCTTTAGTTTGTAAGTATGCTCTCATGGGTTCTGAGTTATTCCTTTTAACCCTTAGGAACTGGGAGAGTGGTAATGATTCTTTCAAGTGTCGTGGGTGAAAGCTGTCAGCCTGGAGTAGGGTGTTACGATCCGTTGTCTTGGTGAATAAAGTATACCCAAGCTTCATCTCTTTTTTAAAGATGTGGACATCCAAAAAATTCACTGCATCCTGGCTCACTGTCATCGTTAATTTGACTGGTGTGGGTGCCCTGTTGATGGCCTCTATCATCTCCGAAATGGACTGGTGATCTCCCTTCCATATAAGGAACACATAGTCAATGAAGCGCCTATAGAATAAAATATTTGCTTCATACGGTTGTAGAATGTGGAGGGTCTCAAATACATACATAAAGCTGTTGGCATACATAGGTGCCATTGCTGCTCCCATGGAGGTCCCTGCTATTTGCTGGTACCAAGTTTCTTCAAATCTGAAGTAGTTAAGTGTAAGGACTGCCTCCAGGATTTCCATGACGTATTCAATCGGGGGGCCTGTGTATGTTGTTGAGTGTTGTAACACTTTGCGCATTGCTTCTATACCATCCAAATGAGGAATGATTGTGTAGAGACTTTTCACATCACACGTTACCAGCAGTGTAGTAGTGTTGGGTAAATTGATGGTGTCCAGAAGTTTCAGTAGGTCTGGGGTGTCTCTAATGCAGGTGGGAAGCTTGACAACTGTATCTTTAAATAGATAGTCCAGCCACTGAGCCAGTGGTTCCAGTACTCCCCCTATGGCTGACACTATGGGTCTGCCTGGTGGATGATCAATGCTCTTGTGTACCTTGGGTAAGGTGTAAATAATCGGAGTCTTAGGTGTGGACTGGATCAAGAATTTCTGTAACTCTGTTGTCACAAAGTTAGCTTCCACTCCTCTTTGTACAATCGCTGAGATTTGTTGTGTGATACATGCTGTAGGGTCGCCCTTAAGTTTGGTGTAGGTGTCTGTATCTTGAAGCTGGGATAGAAGTTCCACTCGATAGTCACAGTAGTTAAGAAGTACTATGCCTCCACCTTTGTCCGCCGGTCTAATGACCAAGTTCACATCGTTTGCTAGTGAGCGGATAAGTTCAAGGTCTTGCTTCGTTATGTTGCTGAAATGACGTTGTTTGGTTTGCAAGATTATATCCATGTCTCGCTGCATATTACGCAGAAATGTCCTTATTGATAACTGCTGTGTTGGAGGGTCAAAGGTGCTTTTGGCTCTAAGGTGACCCATTTCACTGGTAGTTGGAGAGGAGGTGTTTTTGAAGAATTCCTTCAGGCGTATGGTTCTTCTGAATTTGTATAATTCTACGTCACTCTGAAGGTGGTTTGGGAGATTGGTTGGCACAAAAGAAAGTCCTTTTTTGAGTAGTTTGGTTTCATTGGGAGTTAATATTCTATTTGACAGGTTGAAGATTGGGATTACCTCGGTGGTCGTGGTGGTTTTCCCCTTGTGGTATGATCGGCCTTTCTGGCTCCTTCTGGTAACATACCTTCTCTTTGTCTTGTTAAATTCCTTGTATGGACCCTGGAAGGGGGTCCTTGATCCTGCTCTAAAAAATCTTGTGTAGAGGATTTGTTGGACTGGTTAGAGTGTGATGGTTCTGAGTCAGAGGTCGATTCCCCAGATGTTCGGTCAACAGTAAATTGCTTAGGTTTAGATATAGGTCTATATGTGTGATGAAAGTCTGTGGTTAGCAGACTGAAACGTCGATCTTTTTACAAGCCTTTTAAAAGCTAAGATTTTTGATTTAATAGTCCTGAGAGTGCTATCTGAACTTCTTTTTATGTGTGTGTATATATATATATAATATATATATATATATATGTATGTATGTATATATATTATAAAATATGTCCATTGTTTGAGAAACATTGTTCAACCAGCGAAAACCAGATTTTTTTTAAAAAACCATTATTTTTAATTTATCTATGTTAAGGTTGTGCACTATCTAATGTTAAAGGGATTCTATAATGCCAGGAAAACAAAAGTTTTCCTGGCACTGTGGAATCCTGCAGTGCCCCTTAAGGGAGTTAAAACCCCTTCAGTCACTTACCTGAATCCAGCGCCGATGTCCCTCAGCGTTGGGTCAGGCTCCGCCCACACTCTTCTCCAAGACCTAATGCACAGTGGCCGCGGTCGCATTTAAATCATTGCTTTTCTATGGGGAAAATCTGACACTGGAGGACCTCATGCAAAGCGTGAGGACGTCCAGCATCCGATAACAGACCAGAGGTCCATTCCGATTTCGGCAATCCCTCTAGTGGCTGTCTGGTAGACAGCCACTAGAGGAGGAGTTAATTCTCAGAGGTAATTATTGCAGTTTCTCAGAAACTGCAATAATTCCCACTGTAGGGTTAAGATAAGGGAGTGCGCTGGATTTAAAATGTGAATTTCTGTTAGCTTGCTCGTGAAATGTCCCATGTCAGTCTTTAAATTATATAACGTACCACCCAATTTTGCTAGTAAATCATAGCAATATATATCATACTAATATTAAATAACAAAGTTTTGAAGTTTTGCCAAAGTAGATTTAATATGCTTTATTTTTCTTTTAGGTAAATATGCAGAAGATGTATTTGGGGAACTCTTTAATGAGGCACACAGTTTTTCCTTCAGAGTGAATTCCTTGCAAGAGCGTGTGGATCGGTTATCTGTTAGTGTAACCCAGCTTGATCCAAAAGAAGAAGAGCGTAAGTCATTTTAATGTACCCTTTTATTTTCTATATTTGTATGTTTTAAACTATATATATATATATATATATATTATAACGTTCTGTTGACAATTTACAAATAACACTTGTTGGATGTATGTTGCAAAGCACAGACTATTCTCCTGTCAATACAACAGAGCTGGGCAGTTGCTAAATGCCATTGTTTAAAGTCGACACATGAAATAGGTCATCTTGAGTTGCACATTCCGTTGCAGTTAATTAAACAATAGAGGGAAGCATTGAAATGGCATTCTGTGTCTAGTGGGGAAAATGTACTGTCCTGAAAATCTGTTTAATACAGTATCTCTGCTGTGTTTCCAATCCCCCTCGAGCTCTAGCTGCTTGCATGTATGCCCAAAACAAAATTAACTGTTCTATATAGTTTGTTGCTTTTGTGTTTTTGTGGTTGCTAGGAAAAAGCTTTTAGAATTTGCAACTGAGCCTTAAAGGTATACTATAGGCATCAAAACAACTATAGCTTAATGAAGCCGTTTGGATGTTTAAATCATACCCCTGCAGTCACACTGCTAATTTAATTCCTAAATGGCAGAGAATTGAGCATTAAGACTGCATCATTAAGATAAAAATGTTCTGTGCCTATAGTATTGCTTTAAAGCGATTTGATTGAAATATCTTTTTATGGCTAAACAAAAGGGTACTATGTATACTGTAACTCTGACGTTCAGAGTCTCTACGCTCTCCATGGAGACACTGAACTTTCCTTATAGAGATGATTGATTCAGCGCATCTCTACGAGGCGATGCTGATTGGCCAGGGCGGTGTTTGGCTCCACCCCTGGCCCACCTCCTTGGCTGAGATCATCAGAATAGACCATCTCTGCCAATCCACTGCTTTCCTATGGGAAAACATTGTGATTGGCTGAGATCACTTCTGATGATGTCAGCCAAGAAGGCAGATCGGGGGCAAAACCAGCGCCAGCAGACTGGAAATAAGGTAAGATTTTACTATTTTTAGGGCAGCAAGGGGGACTAGATAGTGTTTTAACATAGGTTCAGGAAACAATGTTTGTGTTCCCAACCCTAAAGTGTTCCTTTAAATCAAGCATGTCAAACTTGCGGCCCCCCTTCCCTGGGGCCGTTTTCAGCTTTGGCTGCGACCAGCAAGACAGGAAAAAATATTTCCTGATTCTTGCTCTCCCAGTCACAAGAGGGCAGAGTGGCTTTGTGTCTGCTGAGCAGACCAGAGCAGCCACTCCCCCTTCCCTCCTGCTCGCAGTTCCAGAGGAGCATCTGGCCTGCTTCAACAGGGCTGGAGCTGGAACTGGAGGACAGACCGCAAATTGTAAGGTAGCAGAGGGGGGGCAGTGTATTAATTTGAGAGAGGAAGGGGCACTGTATTCATTTGAGGGAGGGAGGGGGCATTGTATTAATTTGAGGGAGAGAGGGGGCCAGTGTAATAATTTGGGGGAGGAAGGGCAGTGTATTAATTTGAGGGAGGGGGCACTGTATTATTTTGGGGGAGGGAGGGTACACTGTATTGATTTGAGGGAGGGAGGGGCCAGTGTGTTAAATTGGGGAGGGCAGTGCAGAATGTGGGGGAAGGGGTCAGTGTGTTAAATTAGGGAAGGGGCAGTGTATTAACCTTGGGGGAGGGGGTCAGTTTATTAAATTGGGGAGTGGTGGCAGTGTATTAATGGGAAGGAGGGTGCAGTGTATTCATTTGGGTAAGTCAGGGGGGCCATTGTATTAAATTAAGGGAGGGGGCAGTGTATTTATTTGAGGGAGGGGGCCAGTGTATTAGAGTGGTGGGGGGCAGTGTGTTAAATTGGGGGGAGGGCAGTGTATTACAGTAGAGTGGTGGGAGTGAGGGCAGTCTATTCAATTAGAGAGGAGGGAGGAAGGGCAGTGTATTTGATTAAGGGAAATGTATTAGATTGGGTGAGGGGGGCAGTGTGTTGGATTTGGGGGCAATGCATTGGATTTCTGGGCAGTGTATTAGAGCGGGAGGAGGGGCAGTGTGTTAGATTGGGTCTGTATGGAGGCACTGAACGCTCCCCATGGAGATGCTGATTGGCCGTGCAGTTTTTTGCCACACATGCAAAATACGTTATTTTATTTTTTAAGAAGACACACACACACTTCAACACCGAAATTAAATATGAAGAATCACTTGTGAAATGATTTTGTGATTCTTGCCAGTTGTTGGATGGGAGAATTTTAAGCCAAGTGCATGTTTAGTATGAAAAGTCATTTTACTTAATTCCCCAAGTACACAGTCCATCTACTTTTCTTACAGCAGAATAAAAAGAGATGGAGCTGAAATATCCCAAGAATCTGATGTTAGAAATGTAGCATAGAATCCAACCCACAGACTGAGGTCATATTCTTTTTTCAAATGGTGCTTTTTTCCCCCCCTCGGCTTTTCATTGTACAAAAATAGAAAGAAAGGAATAAAAAGGCAGGTGATACTTACAAGCCATTATTTGACTTGCACATGCTCAGGGTTAGGACATATACCATTCACTGCTAGCAGCAGGGATTTTTACTAGTTGAGAAAGATTCTTCTACAGAGCTGCCTCTTTTCATTGGACTCCTATTGATAAATCAGGGATTGAATTTATCTGTAGGTACATTCGTTGTATTGCTACTGCGAAGCATTGGACATTGCTTTTATTTATCTGGCAAATTCATCTTCTGAATTTGAATTGTGTAGCATAAGGGTAGCATTTAGTGCTACAGGAACAACAGGATCATGCATTTTGTATTTTAAAACTAACAATGGCTATATTGTATTTTAATCCAATCCTTGCTGGTAACAAATAACTTTCTCTGTTAAAGAGACTACCACTTGCCATCCTTTATGATATCCCAAGACTGGACTAACATGTGGCCCAACTCTGTACTACAATGACTTTCATGGTTCATTTCAAATTGTAGTCTTCTAAAACAGAAATGATAATCAACATTGCTGGCATGCTATCTCTTTCAAGACAAGGGGTTAGTTAAATCCCATAATATCATGATTTGTAGTTTATCTGATGAAAGGATTATTTGATGTTTCTACTCTACTAACATGATGGTACATTTGGATACACCATCATTCTAAATATCTAGAATGAATTACCTTCAGCAGTTGTAATGCTAATTCTGATGATCTACAAAGTCAGGAAGCTCCAGTCAATTATTTATTTAATATTTTATTTTATTATTGATATAGCGCCAGCAAATTCCGTAGCGCTGTACAATGGGATGAACCATAGTGCCTAAGCAAAATTATGGTCAATTAGTGGACCACTGCATAAAAGTCCACATATTTACATTTGGAGATTTCGGCCAAGGTGAACAAACTCACAAAGCTTTAAAACGTTTCCAAAGCAATTGCAGCTTATAGTAAGTGAACTGATGACCTTTCCTAGAGGTCTCGGGCAACCTTCTAGCAACCAGACTACCAGATCTACATTAAGTAAGTTAAAGGGACACTCTAAGAACCAACCATGAAGATGTGGTTTTGGTGATGTTAAAGGACCACTATAGGCACCCAGACCACTTCAGCTCAAGTAAGTGGTCTGGGTGCCAGGTCCATCTAGTGTTAACCCTGCAGCTGTAAACCTAGCAGTTTCAGAGGAACTGCTATGTTTACAGTAGGGTTAATCCAGCCTCTAGTGGCTGTCTCACGGACAGTCACTAGAGGTGCTTCCGTGCTTTGGAGATGCTGGACGTCCATAGGAAAGCATTGAGAAATGCTTTCCTATGGACTGTTTGAATGCGCTTGCCGCGCGTGCGCATTCAGTGCTGACGTCTGCTGAGGGAGGAGGGGAGCCCAGCGCTGGAGAAAGGTAAATGTTTAACCCCTTCAGCCTCCTTCTGGCCAGCAGGGTGGGGGGCACCTATAGATCCTATAGTGCCAGGAAAACAAGTTTGTTTTTCTGGCTCTATAGGGGTCCTTTAATATTTTGATAAAAATTCACATCTAGTGGCTGTCAAGTAACCAGCACTAGACCTATTTTTTTTTTTGTCTTTTTTTTTTTTTATCTTTTAACCAAAGTGGGAGCTAGGAATAAAATACCTCTTACTTTAAAAAATAATAAAAAAAATTTAAAAAATATATATAAAATTTCGTTTTTGTTTTTTTTTAAAGTTCTACATCCCAAGGAAGTATCCAGTTTTAATTTATACTAGCATATGAAAGACAAGGCACTCGGGTGATATTTTTTTTGTGCATCATTAATGTGGCACTGTCACCTTCTGAACTCTTAACATAATTTCAAAGTTACCCGATGGTGACGTTGCCCTTGGTGTCCAGTGGTCACAGGGGAAAGTGAGTTTTACTTACCAGAAGCTACTCATAGTGGCCATCAGTATCTATTAGGATCCTCTTCAGCTCATGGCACTGGAGCCCATGCCAGAACTGTACTTTTGTACATGTGCGAGAGTGAAACATTGAGGCCTACAATGGATCCTGCGATACCATGGTAGCCTCCATAGATAACAAGTGAGAAAATGCCTTATTCTTCCAGCCATTGGTAGGGGGGTAGGAGGGAACTTGGACTTTTGTCAAGTTATTTTCAAGCAGAAGAAAAATACATAAGGCTAACTAGTCTGGTAGTCCCTACTCTGCTTTATGTATTCTATGAGAAATAGATTGCAAAATAACAGATTGGGAGTAAGGAAGAGAAACAGTATGGTAAGTATAGGATGACAAAGCCGCCTGCTTAAGTCAACATTTTGGCAACATTCATAATAAGCCTTTCTAAAGTTTGGGATTGTTCTTAATTGTTACACATATAATTCATCTTAGCCTGGAGGAGTAACCATCTTCTCTTCCTTGGTTTTAAAGTGACAAAATTAATTTCCCGCCTGGTTCAGAATAATAGCCACAAATATTTTTGCTAAAATCCTTTAACTTATGTGCTATGCCCATACCTCCAATATTTCTCAGTAATATCTAACTGGATAAGGTTTGTTTGGTGGAAGGACACGCACCCATTAGCTCTGAAAATACTATAGATCCTTCATAAATTGGGCGCTTTAAGTAGACAAATGGAATATCAACTCGTATGATACAGCACCATGGGTATAACAAGCAAATGTAGCATACAGTGTAGTGGTTTTGGTGCTTGGAGTGTTTGTTTAGTTGTGTTAATCCACTCAACCCATTGTTGGGGCTTTGTAACAGACAAAAGATGAAAATAGGGGAGCTCCTTGCTCCACAAACTATGTTAGGAGCCTAGATTGTTCTTGTGCTTGTTCTGTCCCACTAGTAATTCAAGAAATTAGCAGCTGTTCTTTTTTTGTGAAACAACTGCTGGGAAAACTGTAGAAAAACATCTGTCTCTGGTTGAATAAGTAATCTCCCATTCGTTTCCCTTATCTTCACAAACAATGGTCTTGAAAGCAGTGCTTCTGCGTAGACTGTATGGATTTATATTTCTGACTTTGTCAATGGCTCTATTGTTAAAAAAAACGCTCCTTTTGTGAAAGGTCACAAGGCACTAACCCAGTAATGAAATTTCTGACTGCATGTACCCAAATAGCCTAGCAATTTCTCTTGTTACGTATGTTACATAACCCACAGGCACATTTAGTTTTATTTGTTTCATTTAATAGCATATCTGCTTTCATTTAAAAAAAAATGTTTTTACAATTTGATTTCCATAACTAAACCATTCAGTAGCTGTCTTAAGGCTATCCTATTTCACCTTTTACTGGGGACGTTTAGGGTAAATACATGCAGTAGAACTGAATTAAAATCATTGCTGCCCCGCAGAATTACACTTTTTAAAATGTCCTTATTTAAAGGGCGAAAAGATGACCCTAGCTTTAAGTCTGTTCCAGAGGTTTCACCACTAAACTGTGCATTGGGAGTTGACAATGGACTTTCAGTATGTAGCCAAAAATAGCTTAAAGAAATACTCCATGCACCATAACCACTACAGTTTAACTGGTGCCCCCGATTGTAAGTAGTCAAACCATTTTAGAACGGTTTGACTGAATACTAAGGGTTTCCACGGCACCACTCAGGTGCCAGACTGATGGTGCCAGACTTATCTCATTGGCTCAGAGTGGTCAGCCAATGAGCTAGACCTACAGTGCAGGACTTCGCTCAGGAGAGCTAACGAAAGATACTTTGTCTGGCTCTCTGTCCAATGTAGTGAGGCAGGGAGCAGTACTTGGCAGGGTAGATATGGTTTTTGGAGTGTTCCTCTAAGCTGCTTAGGTGGTAGAGAGATTTTTATTTATTTATTTATTTTTCTCCTGGGCTAGTTGAGCTTTCATCTTACAATCAAATGGTTGATCACCTTTTGTGTAAAAAGTAAAAAAAGAAAAACGATGGTTTCTATACAAGTATCTAGATCAGGTGTGAGCAATCTATGGTACTCGTGGTGCCTTTGCACAGCACTCAAGGCTGCCAGAGCCAAACAGGTTCTGGCCTATCACGAGTACCAGTGGGACTCTGATAGTGCAAATTGAGCTGAGATTGCAGGTGGTGAGGGACAATTTATGCATTGCAGCACTTGGAGGAAGTAATCTCAGATCACTTCCTGCCTGCACTTGTGAATGGGAATCCATACTGGAGAAGAGCAGTCCACAGCGGCTATGCCCTTGACTTGTACTTGGCAAGCCCTTTCTCCATCGGACCCCAGGGAAGATACTCACACTGCTAGAAGGCTGCAGAAGGTGACTCCTCATACAAATAATCCAAATAGCTCACACACAAGCACATAAACAGTCTCCACAAACACAACACCACTGGCAATCCACTTACCTGCACACCACCGCACAAGCAGCCTCTCACAAGAAATGCCATAGGGAATCCTACACAAACACCCTCCCCACCCCCCCAACACACAATGTGGCATCATTCACACACAATTCCACAAGCAGCGCCCATACACAGCCCATATTCATAGGTATCTTACACAATACCACAAACTACTCTTGAACGTGTACGGTACAATATAACCGCCCACATACATACAAATACAATGCTACAAAGCAACCGCAGCACCCACAAATAACACAAGCAGAATATTGCAACATACACTTTACAATTTTTTAAAAATAGGACCCGCACGCCAAGGGACTTCAAGATTTAGTTTTGGCACAGTACTGATCTAGATGTATAGTAGTCTGAGCCCTGTTTAAAGAGTTAGGCCAACCGTTTGTATGCGCATAATAACCTAGTTACAGTACTACAAGGACTAATACAATATTATAAAGTTGAGCAATGAAGTCAGGCATCCATATTAAATTGGTCTGTTCATGAAAGTTCACAGATTATCGGCTTTTAAAAAAAATCAATATCGATCGATCCCTAATGGATACCTCTAAATATTTACCCCTGTCACGTAATACAGCACATGGCTTTTAAGTAAGGCCTTGCCAACCTCAAGAATCACACAGTTTCCTTTCCTTTCTCGCTGCCTACTTGGGAATTAATTGTCTCCTTTCACTTCGCCTTCCATTAGGTCCTTTTTTGATAAAAAGTGTTTATTGCTAATATCTTGTTGTTCTCCTTGCGGTTGAAGTGTTGTCTATTTTACCACCATTAACCCACTCAATAGTGCTCTTTGAAGCTGCCCAAAGAGTCATCAGTTGAAGTGTGTATGACCGGATTGGTTGTCTTTTTCCCATAGCATTAGCGCCACACGTTACTTGCACTCATCAGATCATATTGAGTTACCTGTAAGTGAAGAGCACCTTGACAGCCACAATTTCTTAACAATGGCAAGCGTTTGGGGACTTTGCCAAATTCGTGCCTGGTAAAGGTGAGTTTACTTACCTGAACCTGTTCCATGCGAGTGCCGCCATCTTGATCCAACACTTCCTCTTCGGAGCCTATATCACTGCTGCAACTCTCCCACAAGCGTGAAAATACAACACCGAGATCCAATTCCCTGCAGCATCCCAAAGTCAAGCAGAGGAGAAATACAGAGACAAAGAAGTCCCTACTTTGTCTTTGTAAATATTATGTATATATCTTGACTGGATTGGAATTTCAGTGAACTTTCAACACAGTCAAAATGAGTCAAAATTAGTATTTCGTAAGACTCTATTTAAATACATTCACACAATGAAAAACAAACAGCATAAAAAAAAATAATAATGTAGATATTTGTCAGGGTTTCTGTTTAACAAAAAAACTTTCTTCTGGGCCCTGATCTAGCATTTATTTTTATTATTGTTTTTAATCCATCAAGTGCTGTTACTATTTCATGATTATACAATTTGCTTGCAGCCCCTAGAACAAGGTGTCAAGTTAACAAAGTCCTTGAGTGCAAGATATTTGCTTTTGTGTATGTGTGGGTATATGTATACTTTTGGTCATACGCGCATGCACACACAAGTTGGAGTGCTATTTATTTTTGGCTCTGATTTAAACTGTATACAGAACTCTCAAGGCACAGCTAGAACACACAGTTTGGCTGCTATTTCTCTGTATGTGTCATGAACTAAATCTTTTGAAGACAAGTATATGCACACAGAGCATTTTGAAAGAAAGTTGCTGGAACACGCTGAGTTTTGTACAGGGCTGTATGGGAAGATTACCGTAGGTAACTTCAATAGCATTAACAAAGAGTATGTATAACAAAAATGTCACTAACCCAGTGGATTCTGAACCTTTTTTAAACTTGAATCACATATGGCTGATATTTCTTATAAGTGTTTTTAAGAACATAATTGCACTTTCAGTATCTTAGAATATTTGCCAACAAATAAATGTGACCTGCTCTTTTGATTTGTGAAAAAAAATGCTTCTTGAATGCTTGGGTTAGTGTAAAAACAATGAGACCATTCTGCTAGCAACTATATTGAAATATATTTACTTTCTCTCAGCAATAGCTTGATATATTTTTGATGGCTTTTCACTCTTTGTAGCAAATGAGTTGGTATGCCAAAATGTCCAATCAGAGAGACAGTAGTGACTAGACCAAGTCTTTGTAGTGTATACCGCAATATATAGCGTGACAAGATGGCCTTGCCTTCAGTCAGGTGTAAAATGTAATTGTGTTATCCGATAGCTTCATTTTAGGCAGTGGTTAAGGGTAAATTTAAAATGATGGAGAAATGTGCTCAGTCCCTAGTTTCACTTACCTAGATATCTGAAACTGCTAGTGATCTGATGTGGAGAGGAGTAATGCCAAACTGCGGTAAGACTGGAATTTTTGAACAGAAACTCAATAGCACCTGTGATGGAAAGGTAATTGACCCAATGATTAGAAATAGCACAGGCTGTAAGCCAGTCTGAGTTTCAGCAGCGAAGGGAGTCTTGTGTGCGCGTGTGTTTTGTTCTGAGAGAAAACTGTCGCCTGCAGCACTTGTGCTTTATTTGGGATTCCATAAGAGACAAACCTGAAGAATGAACGGACACAGCAGAAATTGGAATTCTGATTTCAAACTGTAAGGATAGTTAGTAGCTTGCTTCTAAGAGACTGAGACTGATCTTGGATGGATTTAACTATTTGTTACTAATGTCATAAACTACCATTGCAGAGTCATGTATAGAAACAATGTGTAGTAAAATCCTTCTCTAAAAGCTGTTGAAATCAAGAAAGAAATATTTATATGTTTGCCAATCACCCTACTTCATAATAAGCACGTTTGAACCTGTAACTGTTTGAATGGACAGAGAGTCACCTAATCTGAAACTATGATCTGCACTCATTTGGTGGTTTTGGACTCGACTGATCATTGTCTGTGAGTTCGTTTTTACAAGAAAGCTTCCATGAAGACTAGCCTTTTAAAGATTTGGTTGACTGAATTGATGAGTTGTTGTATCCAGCCTTCCCAATGGACTATTAATATATTAAACTCTGAGTTGGCTTCCTAATTCTGAATACAAGTTCCTTAGCAGGTAAGTTTCAGATTCATTTGTTAAAAATAAGTTTTCCATATTATTTTATTAATGTAAAGGTAGGTTCTTTCAGTGCTCACTCAGCATTAATGATCAATTAAATGCTCAAAATTAATACTTTAATAGATTCAAGTTAGAAAATAATGGTGCACATTAATAAAAGGGTTTTTATCACTTTTTTTGTTGTTGTTTGTTTTTTTACCCGTTCATTGTTTTTTATTGAGTCTCCAGAGAATCTAGCTGTCAAGAAACGTTTTCTTTTACTACTCCTTTGTCATGATTTGTTCAGTACAGTTAAAAAAATAAAAATAAATAAATGATATATTCCTGCAGAACGTTAAAGGGTTAAAATGAGATGGAGATGGCACCCAGACCACTTCATTCAAGTGAAGTGGTCTGGTTACCTATTGTGTCCCTTTAAAGTTGAAATATAAAAAAAGCCTAATTGAGGCTGGCATAGCAGCAATGAAGATATATGATCTCAAAATGTCCGTGTGTGTCTGTCCCTAACAGTACAAGTTCATATGCATTGCACTCATGCTTAAGCTGCAGTTTTTTTGGCACATAGTACACTCTTCACTATTACAAATGCTTCTAGCGCCTGAGTTTAAAGGGTTACGCCAATCGCCTTTCCACTTCTGCTTTTAGAAGTGGTCATGGTGGTAAGAATCTGTATGTCATGGTGGTAAGAATCTGTTTCTGCTTTAAAGGACCACTATAGTGCCAGGAAAACATACTCGTTTTCCTGGCACTATAGTGCCCTGAGGGTGCCCCCACCCTCAGGGTCACACTCCCGCCCGGCTCTGGGGAGAGAAAAGGGGTTAAAACTTACCTTTTTTCCAGCGCCGGGCGGGGAGATCTCCTCCTCTGATCCTCCTCCTCTCCTCCCATTTGGCTGAATGCGCACGCGCGGCAAGAGCTGCGCGCGCATTCAGTCAGTCTCATAGGAAAGCATTTACAATGCTTTCCTATGGACGCTTGCGTGTTATCACTGTGATTTTCACAGTGAGAATCACGCAAGCGCCTCTAGCGGCTGTCAGTGAGACAGCCATTAGAGGATTTGGAGGGTGGATTAACCCATTTATAAACATAGCAGTTAATGGGTTAATCCTAGAGGGACCTGGCACCCAGACCACTTGAAGCTGAAGTGGTCTGGGTGCCTAGAGTGGTCCTTTAAACTCTGCACATATAGAAAAATTTGCACTTTGAATCTGCACAGTTTAATCCCCGGCACATGTAATTTATGCAGCCCGAAATTCTATTACAGGCTATATTATATCAATTCTGTACAAAAATGACATCCGTCATCAGCACATACTGCACGCTGGTGACAAATTGAATGAGCTTCTCCACCGCTAGCAGCGCGCCTGCAGGTAGAAGATTCAGTATCACTAATGAGTATGTTTTCCTGGCACTATAGTGTTCCTTTAAGTGGTCTGGATGCAGTGTCCCTGTTCCTTTAACCCTGCAATGTAAAACATTGCATGTTTATATTACATTGCTAAGACTGCCTCTAGTAGTTGTCTACTAGAGGTGCTTCCTGCGGTTTCACAGAGTTTGACTTCGTGAAATGAAGATGGACGTCCTTACGCTTTGCATGAGGACGTCCAGCATGTGGAAAAGCCACATAGGAAAGCATTAAGTCAATGCATTCCAATGAGAAAAGCCTAGTGCAGTGGCTGTGCTCCCCGCTCATATGCATTAGATTCCCCCCACCAGCTTACATTGGCAGAGGAGAAGCCTGACCCGCTGCCAAGTATCTGGGATAGTGTTTAATCTGTGCCATGGGAGGTTCTTGATGTCATTAAGAAAGGATTCAAGATTACATTTTTTGAAGGACCTGGTGATTTTAACCTTGGGAGTTAGTGGGGGAAGGGTTATTTAGCCCTTTCTTGGAAAGGCGCCATGGGGGCAGAGGGTTCCTATAGTGTTTAGGAGAGTTTTGTATTCCTAACATTGTGTTCCTTTAAATAGTCCGTGAGTGACTGTGATTGGTTTACGTTAATTATGACATCAACAGGTAGATGTCACTGGAGTGAAGCGAATTTGTGCTGTGTCAATAAATGATGAGAACATCGGGGAGTATGGTATGGTGGAGTGTTTGACATGGAAAAAGACAAGAGAATGACAGATGACATAATCCCAAAGGTGGAGATAGATTCATACAGACTCCATGAAAAAGTTTTCTTTCTTAAAGCACAGTGTTTTACTTGCATCTCCTGTTTTGTTACTTGTACTTTAAACAACCACATAATCACTATAGACTCTAGAGCGCATTAAACAGGACAGTAGATACGAAATTCTAAATTAAACTCACAGTGCAATGAGGGAAGATAAAAACTTTGAGCTCTTTTTCAGGAAGTATGTAAGACGGCCGTGGTGTCGGCCAGGTGCTGCCTAGTGCTGCATAACCAAAGTGATTTAACTCCTAAATATCAGAGAAATGAGCAGAGGGATTCCATGGGCATAATTTATGCCAAAAACAACTTCACTATAGAACCACTATAGTGCCCTGAGGGTGCCCCCACCCTCATGGCTCCCCTCCCACCGGGCTCTAGGGGGAGGAAGGGGTTAAACACTCACCTTTCTCCAGCGCCGGGCTCCCGCGGCGTTGGGGACTCTCCTCCTCCTTTGGCCGCTGATTGCGCATGCGTTGCAACAACCGCGCGCACATTCAGCATCCTATGGACGCTGGCGTCTTCTAACTGTGAAAATCACAGTGAGAAGCGCGGAAGCGCCTCTAGCGGCTGTAAATGAGACAGCCACTAGAGGCTGGATTAACCCATATGTAAACATAGCAGTTTCAGATGGACCTGGCACCCAGACCACTTCATTGAGCTGAAGTGGTCTGGGTGCCTATAATGGTCCTTTAAGCTAAAATTCTGGTGCTTAAAGTGTCTTTGTAAGATAGTGGTTCCAGTCGAGTTTCCTCAGAAATGCCGCAACAGACATACCGCAACATTTAGGTGACAAACCAACATTCAGTAACATCCATTTAAGAATTTTATAGATATACACCTATAAAAATCTCCAAGGTCTGTGAAATGCAAGCCTGTGTAATTTACTTCAGCACTTACCCTTTGTCTGCATGAGTGTCATGTGAAACCTAAGCCACTGCAGCTGCAGTACAGAATGTGATCTATCACTGACCTAGATTGTATTGTGTTTCTTAGGCCTTGAAAATCAGTCTAGCATGGTACAAAAACTGAGAAGTAAACAATGTTTTAAAGCCACTAAAAGTTATATTGAGCAAGGTAGTACAAACAGAAACAATCTCTAATATATGAGCACAAGGATTTTCAAGTATTTCTTGTTTGTTTGTTTCAAGGGATATTAAAGTCGCCAAAACAATTTTAGTTTAATGAAGCAGTTTTGGTGTATAGATCATGCCCCTGCAGTTTCACTCCTCAATTCTCTGCCATTTACGAGGTAAATCACGTTTATACAGCCCTAGTCACACCTCCCTGCATAGCCCTCCTAAACGCTTCCTTTACAATTACATCTAATTTTTAAACTTCCTGTATTGTACACTCTTTTTAAAATTAGATTTTCTCATCTCCTGCTCTGTAAATAGCCCTTTATAAGCATCCTGTGTGTGATTAAAGTTCAATTTATAAAGGAGATAAAAAAGAAAGTTAACATCTGATTGAAAATTAAACCATATTATATTTTTTTATGCATGTTCAGAACCAAAAGTGATTTAAGTGGCAGAGAATTGAACAGTGAGACTGCAGGGGCATCTATACACTAAAATCACTTAATTGAGCTAAAGTTGTTATGGTGACTATAGTGCCCCTTTAAAGATTGATTTGTGTGACTACATATTCTATATACTTTCTGTACTGATCATACTCCATGAAAGGGTGCTTAGCAAATTGTAATACAATTTAAAGGACCACTATAGTGCCAGGAAAACATACTCCCGCCCGGCTCTGGAAGGGGGAAAGGGGGAAAAACTTACCTTTTTCCATCGCTGGGCGGGGAGCTCTCCTTCTCCGTTCCTCCCCGTCGGCTGAATGCGCACGCGCGGCGAGAACTGCACGCGCATTCAGCCGGTCGCATAGGAAAGCATTCACAATGCTTTCCTATGGACGCTGGCGTGCTCTCACTGTCAAAATCACAGTGAGAAGCACGCGAGCGCCTCTAGCGGCTGTCAATGAGACCGCCACTAGAGGCTTTGGGGGAAGGATTAACCCATTCATAAACATAGCAGTTTCTCTGAAACTGCTGTTTATAAAAGAATGGGTTAATCCTAGCTGGACCTGGTGCCTAGAGTGGTCCTTTAAAAATACTTTAAAGGCAAACTGTCGCTTTTTAGGATTAAAAAATAAATAAATAAAACGTTTACTTATTGCCTATTTTAACGAACGTGTTTGCGAGGTGTCAAAAGTAGCAATATAAAACTCTTATCTTGCACCCAACGTCATCCATCTTGGCTCCCTGTCAATCATTTCAATAAACGCTGCTCTGTGCACCTTGCAATCAGAATAAACAGAGCACAGAGAGAGGAGAAGTTAAACAATGTTTCTGTTTCTTCTTATGCTGTTCATGGTGTGCCTGGTCCGCACTGAACTTTAACACAATTGTAGAAAATAATAAATGTTTAAAGCGCTAAAAAAAAACAGGCATTCAAAAGACTAACTAATGGGTAAAAAGTCCTCTGAACAAGCAATTGTTATCAGTGTGAATAATACTATATAGCGATTAAAAAGATTAATATGCTGCTGCACACTTTAGTGTTTACACAGAAGGGGACAGACCCCTAACACGCAGTAAGAGTAATATTAAGTATAAAAAAGTGGAGCGCAAAATTGAATACTTAGACTAATATTTTTGTGGTGCCTCAGTTCCAGTTGTCATGTAAAACAAACAACGATTTGGAAGATAGTGTAATATTGTTTTGTCTACGGCTTTGTCAGGACGTGAGTATAATTCACTCCATCTTTGTTGTGGATATTTATGGGCAAATTCCTTTCAGATTGACTTCATTTTCATTGTTTTTTCTCAATGTTCTTATTTGCATAATTATGTGAGTCCGCGGGCAATTATGTGCCACAGCGGTCATGAAGTGAACCCGACCATCTGTAGAGACTGGTTACTTGGAGGGAGGAGATTGGATTGTCATCTCAACAACTGTAGTTGACCGTCTGAAGGTCAATGCGCTTGTCAGTGGCAGGATTTGGTACCGCATATACTCGCCACCAATTTTCAGTAAGGGGCAGAGACACCTATCCTTATGTGCAATTTCCCTAATTCATTTTATAATGTTTTAAATAAGTGTTAAAGGAGCAATATAGTGCCAGGAAAACAAACTTGTTTTCCTGGCTCTGTAGGGTTATTAGGTCCCCACCCTTCCCCCACCCCACTGGGTTGAATGGCTTAAAACACTTACCTTAATCCAGCGCCGGGCTCCCTCGGCGCTGGTGACCTCTTCACCCCTTGCCGACGTCCACTCCTAATGCGCATGCGTGGCCAGAGCCGCGCTCGCATTCAAACCGCCCATAGGAAAGCATTACGGTTATCGCATTAAGGATTGTGAAAGCGGCCTCTAGTGACAGCCACTTGAGGCTGGATTAATCCCTCAATGTAAACATAGCAGTTTCTCTGAAACTGCTAAATTTACAGCTGCAGGGTTAAAACTAGGGGGACCTGGCACCCACACCACTAAATTGAGCTGAAGTGGTCTGGGTGCCTGTAGTGGTCCTTTAATTAATTGTTTACCCATTAATCCTCCATTTTGGGATGATATATTTGTTTATAATGTATACATATTATTCCTAAACTATATTACACTATCTTGCATATCTTTGTTTGATTTACATGACAACTGGAATTGAGGCACCACAAAAATATTAGTTTAAGTATTCCATTTTGCGCTCCACTTTTTATACATAATACTTAATATTATACTTAATATTAACACAATTATATAAGTGCAATTTTATGCTATATCAGTTGTGCAATTTCCAAATAAATGATGGCCCCCATTATAGTGCAAAACCTATAGAATGAGAGAAGTTACACAACAAATACTAGAACGGGCATCAACCATTGGTAGGTTTTCCCTTTACTGTTAAAGGAAAACTATAGCCTTAGGAATAAAAACATGCATTCCTAACGCAGTAGTGTCCTCACACTAATTTGGCCCACCCCCATGATGGTTTGAAAAGTGGGTGCTACTTACCTTTCAACCCTTTGCTGCATCAGTCTCTGCGATCGCACTCCACCTATTTGACTGAGATCATCCGCGTAAAGGATATCAGCCAATCCAATGTTTCTAACTCGATTATTTTGCTGGCAGTGCCTCTAATGTAATTGTGACCGCTACTGGAGGCATGGTATCCCTGCAATATAAACACAGTCATCCTACAGAATGGCAATATTTTCAGTTGCAGTGTTATTATTAATATTTTATTATTTAGATAGCACCAGCAATTTCCGTAGCGCTGTACAATGGGGTTAAACAGACAAGGACATCGCACGCAGAACACTTCATTGAGATTATTATTTATAAAGCACCAGCAAATTCCACAGAGCTGTACAATAGATGGATTTACAAACAAATATTTGCAACAAGGTGAGGATTTGCAACAGGAGCCCTGCTCAAGTGAGCTTACATTCTACGAGGTGGTCTAGGTGTCTATAGTTACATTTAAGGAATAACGTTTGTTTTATCGTCCCAAGATGTCCATGACATTACATAGAAAACTGTGAACCTATGTGCATCGAGGTGAAGCTGAATTAATCTGTCCACAAAAATGATAGTGGCAGGGTTGAACAGCTTGAAACTACTTTTTAGGATTGTCTAATCACTTCACTATCACTGCAACAGTTTTGTTTTGGTTTTTTTGAGGCTGAAAATTGGTTCTGGGTTAGCGTACATTTCAATGCATTCCATTAGAAACATGGCACAATCTATGTTGTATAAATGGATCTTTAAATAAATGCTGAGGATAAAACAATAATTTTGTGTAAATGAAGCTATATATTTTGTAATTTCTACTTATGTGTAACTATTTACATACATACAAGCATATCAGAAACTGCAAGTGTTGGTTCTTTTGGTGTATGTTTTAATTCATTTTAATCACAACATATAATAATTGGCAAAGTGCCTAAAGTGGCAATATAAATAAGTAAAAATACACACAATAAATGGGATTAAATCTTAAAGTGACTAGGCAATAAAATATACAGATTTTTCCCTTAATAAAGTGCATCAAAGTAATGTGCACATTGCAAAGTGCATAACAGAAAAAGTGCCCTTTAAAATCTTCCTCACTGGAACAAAAAAAAAATCCTTTGGTGTCATCAAAGTTTAAGGATGCTGATTTTTCATGCTTTCGACAACACCAAACCTATAACAGTAATCTATCTTGTGATAATCACATTTCTTGGTACTTGCAGACACTGCTAATGTAATCAATCAGCCTGCCTTATAATCACCTGAAGCCATTCTAATAGCAAAAAGACAAAATGGTTTTTGATCCACATCATAAGACTCCCTGATCCTAATATTATTTAGTATTTTCTTTAAAGGGGCACGATAGTCACCAGAACAACTAAAGCTTAATGTAGTTGTTCTGGTGAGTATAGTCATTCCCTGCTGTGAACAATGTCATTTTAGAGAAAAGGCAGTGTTTACATTACAGCCTAGGAACACCGTGAGAGGCTACTCCTCAGACTGTCACTAGAGGTGCTTGACGTTCAGCGTGTCCACGCTCTTCATTCAATACATCTCTATGAGGAGATGCTTATTGACCATGGCGGCATTTGGCTCTGCTCCCAACCCGCCTTTGATCTGCCTCCAGAATTGATGATCTCAGCCAATTCAATGCTTTTCTGACCCAATAGTGTTCCTTTAACGTGTCTCCAAAATAGTAACAGAGGGGGGCGGTCAGAGACTTTAGACACATACAACATTTTAGATATTTTTCCATGATCTGTTGGAGATTCTAAATCAAGCTGTGTCTTTATGTTGCTGTTCACAGGATTCCAATTTCTGTGGAGACATGTCAGGGCTGTATTTTATGTCACGTGACGTTTTCTCACCTCACTCCGCAGCAGCCTCTAGCTTCTTTTTTGGTGATGTCACCTGACATCACTTGAAATCTCTTCCAATCCATTGCTTCTCATAGAGAAGTTATGGATTGTAACATGAAAGACAGCCACTTGGGGTGGATTTAACGCTGCAATTTAAGCATTACATAGTCTTCAAATGTGCAATGTTTTATTACATTGCAGTGTTTAAATAACAGGACCACTGCACCCAGACCACTTTGTTGAGATGGCGTGCTCTGGGTGACTTTAGTGATCCTTTAAATGGTTAACACTGTTTATATGTGATTTTCTTTGTTTTATGTAACATTATAATTTTTAGAGAAGTACGTTTTCCATTTATTTTTTTGTATAAAAAATTATTTTCTGTTTCCTGTATTTTATCTGTTCCAAAACACCTGATCATGCAAATGTTAAGCATGATCCAAAGTGTCTACTAATGGCAATTAACCTTGGGAATTTTTTTTATGTGACTAGACGTGTAACATACTAATAATATATGCTTACTGTACTTTCTTTTTTTTTTTTCTCTTTCTTCTAGGGCAGGTGGTGTTGCATATTCATAAGTCAGTTGGCTTCCTAAGCTATTGATACTTTTCACTTTCATTGATTTATTAAACAAAACCAGTTGAATGTTTTCCTGAAAGGGAGATCTATGCTATTCAAAACTTGCACAAAGTGCATTCAGAGTCTCTACGGAAGAAAATGCTTGAATGTTATCTATCATTTTTGTACAAAGACTAATTCAGTAGGGTGACACTACTCCTTTGAGTATCGTTTTTCTTTTCTAACAATTTAACATTTGTAGGTTAAATGGTTTATGAAATCATTCTCTGAATGTATGTCGTTGGCTGCCTTAAAGGAACACTAAAGCATTAGGAATGCAAACCTGTATTCTTAACTCTTTACTGTATCTGTCCCTATCTAAACAAGGCCTTCTCCAGTTCAGAGCAAAAAAAAGCTTTTTAGACCTTAGAGGTAACTCCAACGAATGTGCCCTGAAATGGTACCCCTGGACCGACTTTCCACCATAGGGAGGGAATGCAGACCTAGACACCCACTAACACCAGGACATAACCCTCCGGAAATACACAGGGAAAGATGACCATCCCAACAAGACACCGGGAGGGAGCATACCATGACACTAGAGAGGGGACACTCGCAAGCTCTGACCGACAGAACCGATGTTGTTGACCAGGACATAGCATGCAGTGGTGGCATTAAATTATAGAACTACAACTAGCCTCCCCTCCATCCCCATTTTTTCTCTCTCTCTCTGCTTTTCTCTTTATCTCCTACTCCACTGTCTACCTACTGTCCTCCCCCCTCATTATATTTGTCCCCACCCACCGCTCAAGGGTGGGGGGCGGGGAAGGACAGAAGATCCACCCCCCACCCACCCATTGTAATTTAGGGCCCCCACCTGCCGTGCAGGCGTGGGGGCCGGATAGTAGGTTGTTTTTTAAAATAGTTAGCAGCCACAGGCTGCTCACTGTTTAGTGGACATGCCCCTACTCGCAGTATAGCGAGTAGGGGCATTCGGGAGATTTTAATCTCCCTTATGCTATTATGGGGGTCATATTGACCCCCATAGAGTGAGGGAGAACATGGGGGGCTTAGGAAGTGGCGGGGAGCAATGCTCCCTGCCGCTTCTATCTTTACATATTACAAGGAGGGAGCTGCGTGCCGGTAGCTCCCTCCTTGTAATAAACTGAACGAACAAACGAATCCTGATACACAGTGTTTGTATGTTCGTCTGATTTTTCTATTCATTCATTCGTCTTTCTGACGAATGAATGAATAGATGAAATTCCCGTTGGCATGCCTAAGTGTTTCACTGGACATGTGCGAGAATCTCAGTGCTATCTAGTGTGGGCAGATGACGTGTCCCACAGGGACTTCATCTACCCACACAAAGATGGCGGCGCCCTGAATATAGATTGGGGCAGAAAATAAAGAATAAAAAATAGGTAATATGGGGGGCTTAGGGGCATTTGGGGGTGACTAGGGGGTCAGTTAGATGTAGTGGAGTCGGGAGGGGGGTTTAAAAAAAAAAAAAATGGATTCGGCCATGACAGTGCCGCTTTAAGCACTGGCGAGTTTCATAGACTTGGTTAAGCAGGGCTTGACAAATCCCAGGAGCCATGGTGCCTAGGGACGTAGACCATAACCTTATGGCAGAGGTACATTATAGCATTAGGGATACCGTTTTTTTATTCCGAGCCGTGGTGTTCCTTTTATATAAAAAAAAAACAGCCCGGGGAGGGTCTTCATAAGGTACAAGTCTTTAAAGATACATTTCTTTTCTTCTGTAATCTTTTCAAATACTACAAAGCATTCACAAAAATAATCAATTCCCTATGCTTCAAATTAGGACTTGTGCATTTATTAGCCAGTATCTGTGGAAAACTGCTTAATTTAAATCAGATTGGCTTTATTTACACAATTCGAAATCTGTAGTCTTTCATTACTGTTGTTGATTGCAAATTCAGTGCTTTCGTTTTACGAGTATAATCACAGCAAATTTCAAGTTATTTAAACTGAGCTTTTATGTTTACAGAGTGCGTGTACAATTACGCTATGCAGCTACTATTAAATAGACCTGATATCAAAGGGATGGATTTCCTATGTATACAGGACTTTATATGTGTAGCTTTACAACAAAGGAGACTATGAGGGAGGATTTACCAAGACAATCAAAGCTTTACAGCACCCCACCTTTAAAATATACTTTGCATCTTTTGAGGACTCATTCACTAATCCTTACTCTCTTGCCTAAATATGCCTGAGGCTTTGCATCTTATTTATCTGGGTTTGTTTCTGTATGTTCCTCTGGTACTATCTCTGTAAGAAATGCATGTAAATAACAACTCTGCTGTCTCAGGGTTCTGCAGTTCTACTTATTGCAAAGCTAAAGTGCTTTAACTTTCCCTTGGGAAGAAAACACTATATGAAAAATGAAATATAAAATCACAGCAGAGATAACCAGTAGTATGGTACTAAAGTATTTGAGACATTGTAAGCTCTATGGTGCCTTTTTTTTAAAGGACCACTAAAGGCACCCAGACCACTTCAGCTTAATGAAGTGGTCTGGGTGCCTGGTCCATCTAGGATTAACCCTTTCTGCTGTAAACATAGCAGTTTCAGAGAAACTGCTATGATTACCTATGGGTTAATCCAGCCTCTAGTGGCTGTCTCATTGACAGGCGCTTCCGCGCTTCTCACTGTGATTTTCACAGTGAGAAGACACCAGCGTCCATAGGAAAGCATTGAGAATGCTTTCCTATGAGCCTGGCTGAATGCGCGCGCGCGCAGCAAGAGCCGCGCGCGCATTCAGCCAATGTGCATTCAGCCGTTGACGGGAAAGGAGGCGGAGAGTTCCCACCGCCAGGGGAGCAGTGGAGAAAAGGTGAGTGTTTAACCCCTTCCTCTCCCTAGAGCCCGGCGGGAGGGGGACCTAATGGTGGGGGGGACCTAGAGACCCTATAGTGCCAGGAAAACGAGTATGTCCTTTAATTTATTTTTTGTATACTCCATAAAAGCATTGTAAAATGTTACATTAATTCTCTTGCTCATGTATTTGCCAACCAAAAAGCATTGTTGATTGATGAGAAAAAATGCTAAAGGCCTACTTGTGTTTTCTGGTACACTAAAATATAACTTCTTAATGTCAGCGTTTTAATTACTTTATCACAGAATATTTAAAAACAAACAAAAACTTAATAGATTAAACATAATTCATATAGTGCTTTTTGTTTTTTTCTGGAATGACGTAAACCACTTACGTGCAGACCACAGATTTTTTTAATGTTCTTTTTCAACTATTTTTTTGCCATACTTTAACTTGCTCACTTGCCTGTTGCACTTTATAGAGTGGTTTAGTAGGATCTAAGTTAATCAGTGTTAATAGACTGAGTTGATCTTAAAAACCGCAGCATGTTTTGGAAACCTATTTGAATTTATTGATATTTTAGTTTTTTTTCCCCCCTGATTCTATGTTTAATAAATGACTGCTTTCTTACATTTGTATGTTGTCTATTTTAATGCATTTTCTATTGTGTTTCAGTTTCATTACAAGATATCACGATGAGGAAAGCCTTTCGAAGTTCAACCATTCAGGATCAACAGCTGTTTGACCGCAGAACTTTGCCAATTCCGCTCCATGAAACATATGACTTATGTGAACATCCTCCTCCTCTAAATATACTAACTCCCTACAGGTCAGTATTGGCTGTTCGTTATTAAATGCCAACCTAAGATACATTGATCAAAGAAACTTAAACTGATGTAGCAGACATGTCTGAAGGAGAATATGACATATGGGACACAGATGTCCCAGAAGTTGTATAGGTGAAGACAGTCTTCTAAATTGCACACACCAGGAGTATTTGTATGTGGCTAGTTAACGTTCATGTGCTAGAATGTTTTAGAGATTCGGGCAAAAGCCTTATAAGGGGCAGAATTTGACAGGAGTGGTGGAGAACCTTATGTCAAAGAGGCCCAAATTGTTGTGTATTTATTGGATTAGGGATGTAAGAGGAAGCAGAGTCTTGGAACACTTGTTTGACCAGTTGAAACCTTAGTATTGATGGGGTGGAATGCCAGTAGTTCGCTTTACAGATTTCCTTTCTTGTTACGTGTTGTGTAATTAAATTTAAAAGGGTAGTGGAACTTTGTACTGATTACCACTGAGTCATGATCATCAAGAAGGTAGTCATGACAAGAGGTAAGTGAGATAGGTTTTACTGAATCATGATTGAGAAATGGTGGAAGTGATAGGATTAAACATGACTGTGAAGGACTGAATTCATAGAAGACAAAAAGTCATGGTGTTGTACTATCATCACTAGTTAGAGTATGACCATTGGTGAAAAAGACCAGACTGATAACTATTAGGATATAGGAGATAAGGAAAGTGGCAATACCTTTGGGTACCATCTGTGCTTAGGTGTGCAAATATCATTGCTATGCTTATGAATCACTGGAAGGTGTGAAAGAGCAGGAATATACAACATACTAACAACTTAATTGAGCTTACTGTTTGAATTTCTCAAATTTAATTCTGTAATTTCTTCACTGAATCGAAAACAGATTATTTCCACATTTAAGAAGTGAGACCATTTTAAATCCTGAATGTGATAGCATGGTGTAAATATTTTTTTTTTTTTTTTAAAGAGTGTGTATCCCCAGTAATCTCGTAATAACCATGAGAAATGTGGTTTTGCACCCCCTCCATATTCAATTTTTTTAGAGAGGTGGGGGAGGGTGCATGCAGCAGAGGAAAAGAACCATGATAACTGTTCAGAAAGACACCACAATGCTTACGTAGATTTTAAAGTTGGACACCTCACTAACACTGTATTTATAAAGGGGGTGGGGATTAGATAACTAGGTCAGGTAAACCCATGATCCATTCATTCAGTAAGCTCCCCCATCTTATGGAGAAGGAGGAGACAGGGTCAGAATTATTAGCCACTTCCTTAGTCACTTCTATTGTCTCCTGCTGCGATAGTGGTCCCAGCAGACTTAAACTTTTGTTTATACCCCCATTCATGTACACATACATGCTTCCTTTTGTTTGCAAGGGATCATGAATAACTGTCTAGAGAATTTAGAACACTCACTCAGCTTTGTATCTTATCCCAGTTGCCAATACTTACAAAGCATCAAGGAATTGGGAGCAGAAGAGAAATAATATAGTATCTTGCTATGTCATGCAGCCCCCCTGTCTGCTGTAAGATCTGTGCAGACCCGCATTCACTAGCCTGGCAGTGACAAGCCTATTGCCAGTTTCGGATGACTTTCATGCTGTGTCTGGCAGCAGTGTTAAACAACTAATTATTTGTTTCATGCCAACCTTATTTCTAGGCAAGCTTTATGGACTGACAAGATAATTTTGTGGGTTGCCACCGCCATAATACAATTTTTGTAGTTTGCTAGTGTCTCTCCACTTCTGTCCACCATGCCCGCTGTACTGATTATGATAGCAGGGATACAAACCATTTAGCAATGTTTTGTCCTCTTACCTGGCATTGGCCAGCCTGGAACTGTAGTTCTGATCTTGCTAATGATGCCACTAAGGCTGCAACAGGGTTAAATTCTGTTTTTGCACTGTTTACAAGCACAATGCTCTGCATACAGACTTTAGGTACCATCATCACTTCAAATAATTGAAGTGGTCATGGTCCTTGGAGTAACCCTTTAACTAGTTTTAAACAAATTGAATGTATTTTTGTTTTAACCATACTAAATGACTGGCTGTGTGTATTTATAGAGCATCAAATAAAGTCCTGTCAGTCATTCAAAAACTAAATTGTATGCTTTGTGTAGGAATTTGACCTCCATTGTGTATACAATTCAAGACTGTAAAGGCACTGTAAGGGTTAAAGTGGCCATCTTGTTTGGCATGACTGGTACTCTTGGATGTGACTTCAAAATGCACAAAAAATAACACATTCTCTATATTTAAAGACCCATTCTTTTGAATTTTAGTTCTCTGTGTGTTCAGTTATGCACATAACCTCCCAGTCTCTCTGCTCTCCAGGTTAAAATGAACCTTATGAATTGTGAAAATAATGCATTAAAAATAATCAAAAACATAGAATCGAATATAATTAAAAATTAGTTCCGTCTTTCTGTGTGAATCCTCACATGATCATCAATCTTAAGCTTTTCCAATTCCCGTAAGTAGTTTTCCTAGTCAGGGGTCTCACATTCTGGTCTGTTGAATCTATTCATCTTTTGGACCTGTTAACCAAGCGCTACAAAAGTTAAAAGAATACTAGCTGTTTATCACTCGTTCCAGAAATAGAAATGTGACTGTCGCTAGCCTTCACATTGTATATATCATAACCTGTGTCACTGCCTGCTTGTCCAATAGTATCTGGGTGGAGTGGCTGACTAATAGTTTTCAATGTTCTCTGAGCAGCATCAGTTCTGACTATATCACGTGTTTCTGTTAGTGCCTTTCTGCTTTTTGACAGTTGTTGGCTGAATTATAACTGCTCTCAGCCAGTCAGCGGCGCCTCTGCCCGGCGGCACTCCACGCTTACTGAATCTGAAAATTCAGAAGCTGGATGCCTCCAGAGGGAGAGTGGACATCGCCACTGGAAGTAGCTTTTGGGTAAATCATTCGAGAACAGTCACAGCCAATGAATTCCATCTAAACAGGGGCAGATATCACTAATTTGGATATCCATAGAGGAGGCTGCACTATAGAAAAAGATAAGTAGCTTTTTCACCTCTTTTTTTTTTTCAATGGGAAACTACTGATAGCCTGAGAGTGTCAAGGGACTTTCTCAGCCTATCATTGGTGCCTGGTCCGAGACTTTCTTATTGAAGCCACACAACATTGAGAAGAAGTACAGGAGCAGAGCGATCGGGTGTCTTTGTAGTTATTACCCCTTCAGGTAAACTGGTGCCTTTAATATCTTCTGTATCCCATGGTAATATGCACACAGAAATTAAACTGCATTTTTTTTCTACACCAATTACAGAATTGCTTGTGCTTTCTGCACATGGTACACAACAGATGTCACAGATCTATGCCTATTATTTAAGTAAACCAATTAAAGTTAAAATAATGTGCTGTACTTTGAACATTTTGTTCGAGTGAAAAAATGAATTGCAATTCCAGAAGCATTTTTTTTTTACCATTATTTGATCTGCAACTAGGTTGTTGCCAAATTTCCTTAAGTGACTTTTTCACATTCCAAATGGGATTCTGATTTAGCTATATGTTGTATTGGAGTTATGCTCATGGCCATCTGACACTAAATGGGGGTCTTGTACGTCACTTGCAAATTGCTTTGTCATGGTAGCACATTTACAAATGCATTTACATTTCATTGTTGAAAATATGTTTAACATAAAAAATCTCCAAAGTAATGCAGTAAAAGAAATAAGGAATGAAGAAGAAAAACGTACAGGGTGAAGACTTATTCGGGGTATATAATGAAGAGATATGCGATATTAAGAGGAAGTATTAACCTACTGTGCTTAATTATAGGGTGTAAACTAAGAATAGCAAGTAATTGTACATTTCATTATTCATGATTCCATTGTGTGTTATTACTATATATTAGCTGAGCATATACATACTATTAAATGCCACATTTTGAATATTGTATGTGAGTTTTATACAGTATCTCACAAAAGTGAGTACACCCCTCACATGTTTGTAAATATTTTATTATATCTTTTCATGTGACAACACTGAAGAAATTACACTTTACACTACAATGTAGTAAGTGTAAATTTGCTGTCCCCTCAAAATAACTCAACACACAGCCATTAATGTCTAATCCGTTGGCAACAAAAGTGAGTACACCCCTAAGTGGGAATGTCCAAATTGGGCTCAATTAGCCTTTTTCCCTCCCCGGTGTCATGTGACTTGTTAGTGTTACAAGGTCTCAGGTGTGAATGGGGAGCAGGTGTGTTAAATTTGGTGTTATAGCTCTCTCACTCTCTCATACTGGTCACTAGAAGTTCAACATAGCACCTCAAGGCAAAGAACTTTCTGAGGATCTGAAAAAAAGAATTTTTGCTCTACATAAAGATGGCCTAGGCTGTTAGAAGATTGCCAAGACCCTGAAACTGAGCTGTAGCACAGTGGGCAAGACTATACAGCGGTTTCACAGGACAGGGTTCACCCAGAACAGGCCTCGCCATGGTCGACCAAAGTAGTTGACTGCACGTACTCAGCGTCATATCTAGAGGTTGTCTTTGGGAAATAGACCTATGACTGCTGCCAGCATTGCTGCAGAGGTTGAAGGGGTGGGGGGTCAGCCTGTCAGTGCTCAGACCATACGCCACATAAATTGGTCTGCATGGTTGTCATCCCAGAAGGATGCCTCTTTTACTGATGATGCACAAGAAAGCCCACAAACAGTTTGCTGAAGACAAGCAGTCTAAGGACATGGATTACTGGAACCATGTCCTGTGGTCCAGTGAGACCAAGATAAACTCATTTGGTTCAGATGGTATCAAGCGTGTGTGTGGCAGCAACCTGGTGAGGAGTATAAAGACAAGTGTGTCTTGCCTACAGTCAAGCATGGTGGTGGGAGTGTCATGGTCTTGGCCTGCATGAGTGCTGCCGGCACTGGGGAGCTACAGTTCATTGAGGTAACCATGAATGCAAACATGAACGGTGACATACTGAAGCAGAGCATGATCCCTTCCCTTCGGAGACTGGGCCGCAGGGCAGTATTCCAACATAACGACCCCAAACACACCTCCAAAACGACCACTGCCTTGCTAAAGAAGATGAAAGTAAAGGTGATGGACTGGCCTAGCATGTCTCCATACCTAAACCCTATTGAGCATCTGTGGGGCAACCTCAAATGGAAAGTGGGGAGCACAAGGTCTCTAACATCCACCAGCTCAGTGTTGTCGTCATGGAGGAGTGGAAGAGGACTCCAGTGGCAACCTGTGAAGCTCTGGTGAACTCCATGCCCATGAGGGTTAAAGGACCACTATAGTGCCAGGAAAACATACTCGTTTTCCTGGCACTATAGTGCCCTGAGGGTGCCCCCACTCTCAGGGACCCCTCCTGCCCGGTTCTGGGGAGAGGAAAGGGTTAAAACGTACCTTTTTTCCAGCGCCGGGCGGGGAGCTCTCCGCCTCAGATCCTCCTCCTCTCCTCCCTTTCGGCTGAATGAGCACGCGCGGCAAGAGCTGCGCGCGCATTCAGCCGGTCTCATAGGAAAGCATTTACAATGCTTTCCTATGGACGCTTGCGTGTTCTCACTGTGATTTTCACAGTGAGAATCACGCAAGCGCCTCTAGCGGCTGTCAATGAGACAGCCACTAGAGGATTTGAGGGCTGGATTAACCCATTTATAAACATAGCAGTTTCTCTGAAACTGCTATGTTTATTTAAAAAAAGGGTTAATCCTAGAGGGACCTGGCACCTAGACCACCTCATTAAGCTGAAGTGGTCTGGGTGCCTAGAGTGGTCCTTTAAGGCAGTGCTGGAAAATAATGGTGGCCACACAAAATATAGCCACTTTGTACTTCCTTTTGTTACCAACGGTTTAGACATTAAAGGACCACTATAGGCACCCAGAGAACTTCAGCTTAATGAAGTGGTCTGGGTGCCTGGTCCAGCTAGGTTTAACCCTTTTTTCTATAAACATAGCAGTTTCAGAGAAACTGCTATGTTTATATTAGGGTTAATCCAGCCTCTAGTGGCGGTTTCATTGACAGCCGCTAGAGGCGCTTGCGTGCTTCTCACTGTGAAAATCACAGTGAGAAGACGCCAGCGTCCATAGGAAAGCATTGTGAATGCTTTCCTATGAGACTGGCTGAATGCGCGTGCGGCTCTTGCTGCGCATGCGCATTTAGCCGAGGAGGAGAGTCCCTCGTCCGGCGCTGGAGAAAGAGGTAAGTTTAACCCCTTCTACCCCCTAGAGCCCGGCGGGAGGGGGACCCTGAGGGTGGGGTCACCCTCAGGCCACTATAGTGCCAGGAAAACAAGTGTTTTCCTGGCACTATAGTGGTCCTTTAATGGCTCTGTGTGGAGTTATTTTAAGGTGACAGCAAATTTACTGTTATACAGGCTGTACACTTACTATATTACATTGTAGCAGAGTGTCATTTCTTCAGTGTTGTCACATGAAGATATAATAAAATATTTACAAAAATGTGAGGGGTGTACTCACCTTTGTGAGATGCTGTATAATATTATCCCATGGCGGTGTTATTATCTACCAGCTTAGCAGTATCCAACAACAAAAAATACCATATTGTTTTTTGTTGTTTTTTTTTCTAATGGATCCCTGCATCTAACAGTACAAATAAAGCCATGCGTGTACTGCATTCTGTCTAGGTAATGGCATTGTAAGAACGTCTGTATGCTTTCTTGATGTGAAATAACTTGAATACATTCCTGTTTAAGTTGTTCCTAGCTTATAAACCTTTTCATTTAACAGAGACGACGGTAAAGAAGGCTTGAAATTTTACACTAATCCATCCTACTTCTTTGACTTATGGAAAGAGAAGATGCTACAGGACACAGAGGACAAGAGGAAAGAAAAGCGGAAACAGAAAGTATGACATTTCTAGAAATTCAATCAATAATTTTTCACTGTGTGCTCATATGTTAAATGGTCTTGATTTTTTATATTTTTTAATAAACTGTTTTAACCACTCAATGACCACATGACTGTCGAAGGCATCATGCAGTGCATGGCTTTAATACCCAGAGTCCTCTGTACTGTGAGCGCTAGGAAATCCCTCTGCTTATGTCAACAATGACATCAACAGAGGGGAAACGCTTCAGAGGTAGGATAATAGGTTGGATTATAGGTAGGATTAGGATTGGATTATGGGTAAAACTAGATGTTGAATTAGGGACAGTGTAGGGGTAGGATTAGGCGCAGGACTAGGATAAAAGATACATGCCTTTAGGGTATCATTGCACTTAAGAACAGTGGCACAATTTCCCCAAAATACATGTGTGTTGAGAATAAAAAAAACACCACAAAATTTCTTATCTGATCACGGTTTGTGATAAAATGGTTAAATGAAGTGTCTAAATACTGCTCATTATATAGCCTGGGGGATGTACTTTCTACAAATATATACTTTTGTGTAGCACTTATGGATTCTGTGACTACGATTAAAGTTGTAATCAAATTGTGCAAAGTTTTACCTGTAAAACTGTAATTGACTCCTTGCAGTATTTGTTTTATAACTCCTAAAAATAAATTGAAATCAAGACTAATTAGTGAACTTTGCATGTAGAAATTAAATATTATAAAAACGAAAATGTATCGTTCTCCCCTCCCTCTCCCATTTTTTACTATTTGATTCCTATTTAATATTACGCTATATACACATAAAGGGTATCAAAAGAAAGCTCTATCTAGCTGTTAAAAAATATTTATAATATGTATGGATGCACTTAAACAGAAAAGTGGAAATTGAGGTAGAATTAACGCATGGCAAAAAGGCCTTGGTCCTTAATAGGTTAAACTGATCAAAATATTAATATATATTTTTTATAATATTACATATTTTTTGAGATTTTAATATTTTGAAAAAAAAAATATGAAAGTTTTATCCAAAATTCTTAAATCATTTCAAAGGCATATTCAAGAATATAAAATGTAGGCCAAAGTATGATATTCTTTTGTTTAAAGAGGATCTAGCTATACAGTTTGTAACTATTTTTTTTCATTTATTATTTATTATTATTATTAATTGTTTGAGAACCTTCCTACACTCTACATTTAATGAAGCTAGAATTATGTGCACTAGTTTTTAGGTGGGAGGCAGTAGGAAATAGCATCCCCAAATCTCCCAATGCTACATACACATAACTGAGTCAAAATGGGTGTTTCTCCAGTCTACAGTTATATTTTATTTTGTGCAACCAAGATCAACTGCAGTCATTGTAACCCAAAAGCAGAATAAGGTTATTTACTAAACCAAGTTGCAAATTTGTCAATTCTTTCCAGGTCACCACATCTTGCCTAGAATTCTCAATTCAGGTAAATTAATTTATTCAATTAAATAATAAATGTTTTACTAGGAAAATTCTATAAATGAGCATTTTCTTCTAACTAACAACCAACCTGCCTAAATATATATGTACAAGTGTGACTGTAAGGTTGATCTCTGTTAAATAAGCACAAATAAACTAAAAGATTATTAGAAACACTGAAGGTGACAAGTAAAAAGGGCATGCCAACAAATACAAACAGCTCAATGCATTTTGCAGCAGCTGCCATGTGTCAGAAGTTTTTGTGGTCAGTGGTAGCTTCACTATGCTAATATCTTCTGTATTGTCATTAAAGTTGGACATGTAGCATATCTTATTGCCTTTCCTCATTGAAGCCACCTTCTGTACATTAATCAAAATAACAAAGGAGGTGTAATTTTATGAACTCTAGAGTTTTTCTTTTTCATGGCTTTAGGGTTTGGCACATGCTTTATATTTGTTTTAGTTTTTATGTAATGCTACTTTTTGCAGCAAAAGAATATTGATCGACCACATGAACCAGAAAAGGTGCCTCGAGCTCCGCATGACAGGCGTCGTGAGTGGCAGAAGTTGGCTCAGGGTCTGGAGCTGGCTGAAGATGATGTAGAACTTATACATAAACAAATTGAAATTGCTAATGGTCCACATTTCGAAACAAGGTATGTGTTCATTTTAAATGCATACAGGCATACAAAAAAGTATTAATGAATATTGCATCATCTTGTATTTACTTGGCACTCCAGGAGATTGGGTCATATATTCTAGGTCTGGTCATGCCTTGACTTGTTATTGCTATATTTGTATGTTTAAACCTTCTGCTTTATTCATTGCACATGGATTGGATGTAAGGGAGACCGCTGTGTGTATTCCATGGTAATATAGGTTTCCAGCAACATTATAGGAACACTCTCAGCCAATCATAACAACGGGCATCTTAACAACTTCATTGAAATTGAGTTCTTATGGTGGCAGGAGGTACCTGGTGCTGGCTCACCTTTAGGGATTAATCTGTTCACGAAAGGTTTAACCTCAATTTCTGTGTTCCAGCACCAGATTTCTCTGATACCTGTCCTTCCATTTGCTGAAAAACTTCAAAACGCAATTGATTGGTTGAGAGTGATTAACCGACGCTCTCAGCCAATCAGTGGCTCCACATTCACAAAATGGCTTGAAAAATGTATGTATTTTTAAACCGCTCTCAGCCATAATCTTCTGTTTTAAAGCATTTTGGCAAACGGAAGAACAGGGGAAGAGAGATCTGGTGCTGTTCCATTTCCACTATTTAAATGGTCCTAACTAAAGTGTCTTGTGATTTATTTGTGCATTGCTAAATCCAAAGGTAATTACTCTCTTTAAATTCTTCTTGTCCTTTTGACACTATCCACAATGCTTCTTGAAAACCTCTATGATCTTTGTCTACATCACACTGTTCTTTTCCGATTCTCTTCCTCCCACTCTCAACACCACCTCTACCCCACTGGAGTTCCCCTATGGTTTAGTCCATACCGCTTTCGTTTTTTTATTAATACTTCCACATTTGGTAAACTTATTGGTTCCTTTGGGTTCCAATGACATCACTCAGACTTATCTGCACACCAAAAAAAAAAGCATCCTAATTGCCCTTCTAACTCAAACTAGAATACTTTGCGTCTTCTAAAACTGTTTTCAACAAAACTGAACATCTTCTATTTTCTACTTTCACAAACCTGCTTCCATTGTCTCACTTCCTGTTGAGCAATGGAACACCCATTATCCAAATCCTAGCATCACTGCTTTGGTGTTTTTTTCAACTCCCCTCTTCTCCCAACATCCCTTCTGCCCGCAAAACATGTAACTTTCACCTTAAAAAAATTGTTCACATTTATCCCTATCGTTTACATTGTTTACTTGCTCCTCTTAAAACTTTTTAATACTCACATTGTCCCACTATAATGCATTATGAATGTTGCTGCCATACCAACGCATCATCCCTTTGCCAGTCCTTACATGACTGTTGTCCCCTTCATGATCCAATTCAAACTTCTGATTCTAACCTTTTTTATTCACAAATACACCTCTTCTCAATCACTACATTCTGCATTTTTCTTGCCCTCTGTTCATTTTTATATTGCTAATTCAATACATTTCTACAGGATTTATGAAGGGCCACAACATCCAACTTTGCCTCACCTTCTTTCCTTTAAGAAGTACCTTAAAGCTTGTATTTTTAGGAAAGCTTATCTTCTTCCTGGGTAACGTCTCTCAGTACAACAGTCATCCTATTCCTCCCCACATTACGTTACACAATCCAATTCACTCACTCCTTCTACAATATGGTTCTTCAACACACCAATTTTACAGAAATAATAAGACCACGAAATGAATAACGAACAGTTACAAATCCTAGTGTGCATCCACTTACCAAAGGCACTAAACGTTATACAATAACTTCTCCAGAAGAAAACCTAAAAGTGGGGAAATTACGAAATGAAGACCTTCCAAATTGAAGTGCAGTTCCCATTCATTAAAAATCATCACTGTTTGTAAATTACTTACTTTTAAGAGAGACTCTGACTATAAAGTTTTCCTTTCCTCTGGTGAGTTGTTCTTCCCTTGATTGCCTCATATCCTGCTATACTGTAAGTGCATTTTGAGCAGCTATTGTATCTGTCAACATGTATTTTGCTGTTGTGTATTCCCACAGCTTATTTAGAAAGCAACTGGAATTAGGTAGGCACTATATAACTACTGATATTAATGTGCAACTCTGAGTTAACCAGCCTGACAAATCTTTCTTTTTGCCGAGAGCCACCCTTCTGCATATCACTGGCCTAGTCCTCACGTCCAGCTCAGCACCACCCCATGAATTCATAACTCTCAATGTTGGGACGTATGATGCATTCTTGTGTTGAATTCAGTATTTTAAGCATAATTCTAATTCAAAGGGGCACTATAGTGCCAGGAGAACAAACATGTAATTCCTGACATTATAGTGTTAAAATCACTATAGCTGGTTGGCCCCCCATTACCTCAAGTTAGGTGACTTCCTCACCTTTTTCGAGCGCAGCGCAGGTCTCCTCGCGTCTGGCCTCACCCCCAATATGCCTCTTTGGCTGACATTGGATGCATAAGAAAACATCGGCTGTGCTGAGATTGTCAATTCTTATGATCCCAGCCAAGGAGGTGAGTTGAGGAGCAGCCAAATGCCGTTCTGACCAATCAGCATCTCCTCAAAGAGATGCATTGAATGAGTACATCTCAATAGGGAAAGTTCATCGTCTCCATGCAGACGTCAGGGCTACTCACCATGCAGCCTTGACCAAGGGAGCACCTCGAGTGGCAATTAGAGTTGTGCCTAGGCTGTAATGTAAACACTGCCTTTTATCTTAAAACGCAGTGTTAACATTAAAAAGCCTGCATGGACTGACTATACTCACCAGAACAACTACAATAATGTTTAGTTGTTTGAGTGATTATAGTGTCCCTTTAAGCAGACTAGAAGATTCCATTAAATTAACAAAGCTTCCTGCATCCTACTTTTTGATGGCTAAACCTTGACATCAATCATTGAATGGTTGTTGTTTTTTCTTTTGATTTACATCAGAAAAATACTGGTCTGAGAGTTTTGCACAAGTACCTGTATTGTATTGAATATTAAATAGCTGCTGATAATCTTATTATCTTATCTTTTGTGTGGCATCTGTGTGGAATGAAGCCAATAGTTTTGTATTTTGTCTTCGATCGGGATATTATGGTCTTCTGGACCTTGAAATATGGTTCACTAGTAAAAATTAGTGGTACACAGATTGGTTAACAATCGGTAAAACATTGGAATTGTTTCTTAAATAGAACATTAGACCAGGGGTTCCCAACTCAGTTTATATAATTAATCTTCGTAGTTGTTTAAACTACTGGTATGCCTTGTCAATTTTTTACATTACTAAATGACACAGTGTACAGTGGTGAACGGTGGGGTCTAATGCCTTACTGATTAGGTCCTGAGATGCATATACTTTCATAATCTACAGTTCAGTGCACTTGACCACAAACTCTGTTTATGAATATTTTGTTTGGTATTTGCCATCCCCTTCCTGGGATTGCATAGGTTGTGGGTTCAATTGAACTTGAAACTACAACTAGTAACTGTCATTTTTGCACAGGCCCCAAGCTTATGGAGAAACTATTGATGGACCCTTCTCACTGGCTGCATTGCCCTACAGTCAAATGAATGATCTACTAAACAGAGTTGAAGATAGAGTGTTGGTGAGACCACACGAACCACCTCCTCCTCCACCAGTGCATGCACCAGGAGATGGAAAGGCCATGCCTCCTATGATTAGGTACACTTTTCTTAATATTTACAATAGTAGTTTACAGTATCCTGCAGCTATTGGTACATAAGTATTTTTGCTCATAAATTCTCAATTAGCAGTTTTTATTTCAGTATAAAAATGTATCTTTCAATCACCATAATGCTAACTTTGCCCGTTTTCATAAACGACACAAAAAATTACAAGTGATTGCTGTTCACACATGTAAAGATGTAGACATTTCTAAAAAATTTATGAAAAGCATTGTTTGTTACTTAAAGGGACACTATAGTCACCTGAACAACTTTAGCTTAATGAAGCAGTTTTGGTGTATAGAACATGCCCCTGCAGCCTCACTGCTCAATCCTCTGCCATTTAGGAGTTAAATCCCTTTGTTTATGAACCCTAGTCACACCTCCCTGCATGTGACTTGCACAGCCTTCCATAAGCACTTCCTGTAAAGAGAGCCCTATTTAGGCTTTCTTTATTGCAAGTTCTGTTTAATTAAGATTTTCTTATCCCCTGCTATGTTAATAGCTTGCTAGACCCTGCAAGAGCCCCCTGTATGTGATTGAAGATCAATTTAGATATTGAGATACAATTATTTAAGGTAAATTACATCTGTTTGAAAGTGAAACTAGTTTTTTTTTTTTTTCATGCAGGCTCTGTCAATCATAGCCAGGGAAGGTGTGGCTAGGGCTGCATAAACAGAAACAAAGTGATTTAACTTCTAAATGACAGTGAATTGAGCAGTGAAATTGCAGGGGAATGATCTATACACTAAAACGGCTTTATTTAGCTAAAGTAATTTAGTTGACTATAGTGTTCCTTTAATGTATTTATATGTTGTTGCATCTATTTTGTTATATATATTTTTTACATGTTTTATGGTTTACATTATTAGTTTTAGTAGGTTTTACAGTACCTTTTTTTTGTAAATATTTCTTTGAATATGATGAATTTTTAAATGTCTAACAGCAACTTCTTTTTACAATTATAGTGCCACATCAGGGTTGAATGACAACAGGCCACAGTCTCCTGCCATGGGAAGAACACAAGTGTTTGTTAGTCCCTCACCTCCTCCACCTCCACCCCCTCCTCCTCCCCCTCCTCTTCCATCTGCTCTTTCGGCATCTTCGCTGCGATCATCTATATCTTCGACTCCACCACCACCTGTTCCTCCTCCGCCTCCACCACCAACTGCTAACTTGCAGACTACGGTCATGCCACCACCACCAACTCCACTCCAGATAGCACCTGGTGTCCTTCACCCTGCTGCTCCTCCTATTGCGCCTCCCCTCGCTCAGCCTTCCCCTCCAGTATCACGTGCTGTTGAAAATGTGCCCATACACCCACTTCCACAAATGGAGTCACAAGGTCTTCCCCCACCACCACCACCTCCTCCTTTACCCCCACCAGGAATGCGACCCTCTTCCCCTGTTGCAGTCCCACCCCTCTCTCATCCTCCCACTGGTCTTCATCCTCTTGCTTCTATTGTTCCCGGTTCGCATGCACCTTTACTTCCTCCCTCCCCACCATCTCAAGTTGTTCCTGACACCAAGAGACATCCATCAACGCTCCCAGTCATTAGTGATGCTAGAAGTGTTCTTCTGGAAGCTATACGAAAAGGTTGGTCATTTTCTTGTTTCACTGTAACAGAAACAAAGTTATGTTTGAAGATAATGTAAACATAAACCCTACAAAAGTGTGTTATGTTAACATCCTTTTAATAAAGGTTCAAGGTATGATCTGTTACTATGCTCCCCCTAACTAATATGTTCTATACGTCTTTTAAAAGATAATCCAGGCTGGAAATAACACCAATTGTGAATGCATTAAATGTATGAAAATATGCAATCCGTAAAATAAATATAATACTAGTCTCTACAACTGCTGAAACACCTACAGGCAAGCAGTAGCAGATAGTCCTCCTCAGTTTAGGAACGTCACCAATTAGAACACATTATTTACAATCTATGAGAACCGACTAGTACCAGTTAATTAATAGCCCATTTTACGGTTTGTACCATTGCTTGATCTCCAGTACAGAGAATCCCTGGGTGAAGGGGGTACAAATCCTGAGAGTGTAGTATAATTACTTGATGGGCACCCACTTACCTACAAGTAGTAAAGGCACATTTGGAGTGTTCTTTTAAATGACAAGGGCAGCTGTGTTGCATGCGCTGCTACAAATCATTGTTTTCAAACTGCTAAAGACAGTGTGTTTTTGTTACTCTACTAGCATATTTGTTTACCCACAGCTTAGCTGTAACAGTGTAATCTAAAAGTATCTGGACTGAATCGCACAAGCTCTTTATTCTGATGGGTTTTCTGATGTTCTCCTTCTGTTTTAGGTATTCAGCTCCGCAAGGTTGAAGAGCAACGCGAGCAAGAAGCTAAACACGAACGTATCGAAAATGACGTGGCTACTATTCTGTCTAGGCGCATTGCTGTAGAATACAGCGATTCTGAAGATGATTCAGAGTTTGATGAGGTCGAGTGGCTGGAGTAGAACCCATTTTACATAGTTACACACTACAAACTGGAATGCTGATGTAAAATTGTGGTGCTTGTTTTTTGAACATGTTTGGTCATTTATAGTGTTTTGTATTTTTATTAAACCTTTGAGTGGCAAAGTCATGCTGTATTCGCTTCTCTGACACCCAAAGATTTAATTTACACCACCGGAATAATTCATGGTTTTTGTACTCTTAGTTTACAGTAAAACTAGAAATCTTGACATCAATATAAAGTGGCTTATTACCATTCTGTTTTGGGAAGACAGTAATTTTTTCAATAGACCACTAAGTATTAAGAATGGGCAGCTGTCAAGTTATAGAATAGAAAGTTATTTTAAAAAATTATATATAAACAAATATATAATTTTTTTTATATATATTTTTTTTTTTTTTATGTATCCTACTTGTGCACTTTGTGAATTTTAAGTTAATGAAGGTAACCGAGGATTGAAATGCCGAGGGCAGCTGTGTCTACTAATATGAGCCTTATTTTATTTTGATAATGTTTTGACAACATTAAACCTAGCTATCAAATTCCACTGCTTGAAGCTAGGTCTGTACACTGAGATAATAGTTTGAAATTTAGAAAACTATGACAAAGGAATTACTACTTGTTGTTTTTGTTTATTTTTTTATTTTTTATTATGATGGCCTTATTTGAATGCTGAGGTTGTTCTTTTTTTTGTTGGTTGGTTGTTTTTTTTATGTACATGTTGTAAGGTACTATTTTGCCTGTATACTAAAACTAAAAAAATAAAAAACACAAAAAAAACCCAGTGAAAACAAACTTTAAACATTCTGTGTAACGTATGTAACTGTTCAACAACAGTTTGATTTAATAAATTCTTCATTTTAAAGACCGTCTCTTGATTTTATTTTTTACTTTGTGTTGTGAGGCTTTATATTTTATTTTTTGTAAATATATTTTTTTTTTTATAAGGAGTTTGCTGTGTGGAATAGAAGTACCGAAAGAGTCTTGCAGGTCCTAGTGGCCATAAATCCAAGTTTAACAACAAGTATAATAAATATAATGAAAAGACATACTCAAGTAAACCGCATAACATGCATAAATTCGTAATAGATATTTAGGTACCTCAGCAGCTTGTATGATACACCCCACTGTTAACATGCATATTCAAGAGTCAATAGCGCCACAATTCATGATCGTATGACTCTCCTACAACACAAGCTAGATTCCTTAAGATTAATTTTTTTTGCCAGGTAAGTTTGTGTACGCTCGTCGGCACTAAACACAAGCTCTTCAATAAAGCAGAGTTTTTCTATTTGCTGGAACCATAAACTTAAAGGTGGTGGGGTCCTTTTAATCTTATGGCAGCATCTGGACAAACATGTCTCAGCCTATCTGAGATTGCGGAGTTATCCCCTCTCCCATTAGTGTTATACCCGAGTAGGAAGGAGAGAGAATTGGACCTTATCTATGGCCAGCCCATCTTCTGGGTTACATGCAGTGAAAGAGAACTAAATTAATGACAGAAGCTGCAAATAGCAGTTACTTCCATGGGGAGTAGCACACACTAATCTTGGACAGGCTACTACATGTATGTCCTTGTTCTGCAATGAGTAGAGTGACGTCTGTTATTTGCGAATTGCACTTCTTCCAAAACAATATGTAGAAGTAGTATGGGTTTTGGTGTGGTGAAAAATGTTGACTATAAATTTGAAGAAAAAAGTATTTTTTATATATATATTATGTTAAAAGAGGATTCAGAAGGCATATGAATGCTGAATTTGAATACCAATAGCATATGATTTAAAATCTGAAACTCGTGCTATATAGCTCCTCAGTCTGCTAACTAGCTAACTCAGAACTAGCACGGAGAGAAATGATTGTGCTGCCATGGATATAACTAGAAAAATAAAGTTATAATACTTTTTCTGTTTTGGAAGCGGTAGTACACAGTCTCAGAAACCATAAAGGGAGGATGGCCTTATGCAGTGCTAGAAAGGATTTATAAAGCTGAAAGTACTTTGCATCCAAAATCAGCAACTGAAGAGGTGACAACGTGGAGCTTGTAATGCTGGATAAATGTACGCGAAGCCTTCTATAATGCGGCTCAAGAAATGCTCTTAGATTCAGCCTCCCAGCATGCAGATACAGACCTTGAAGAGAGGGTTTGATGATCTCTGAGAATAGGAAGGCAATTATCAACATAGGCTTTGAAAATAAATATGGATCATATTCGACTCTGTAATCTATGCTTGCACCAATGACTTAAAATATATATAATATAATTGTTTATTAAACAATAGTACACAGGAATTTTGATGGTAAGAGAAGCTTACAAATTTGGACTGTGAAATTCCTCAGAACTGATTTAATCAGGAGAGATTCTGGTTTTGTCTTTACACCTCATATCCAATCTGTCGCCAAATCCTGCCAATTCCACCTTAAAAACATTGTCCACATCCACTCCTTTCTTAAGCAACATGCTACTAAGAAGCTTGTTCCTGCTCTGGTCATTTCTTGCATTAACTATTGTGATTCTTCCGTAATTGGTCTGTCCAGAAACCATACAACTTCTGTACAGTTCCTAGTGAATACTGCTGCTACACTTATTTTTCTACTTTCACATGTCACCCCTTTATCAATTATTACATTGGATTGAAGTACACTATAAGATTTAATTCAAACTCTTTAGAGCTCTCAGCACTTCATAGGTGCACCCCTTCTCTGATTGTGACCTTCTCCTGTTCGTTGCTAATAACCGTAATGCTAGTTCACACTTACAGGACTTTTCCTGGGCAGCAACATTCTTATGGAACAGCCTGCTGGTCCCATCAGACTCTCTTAGTTTTCAATACTTTAAAACCCATTCTATGGCCTCCCAGGCTAACATACCCATCTTTCACTCACTCCACTCTCTCTTCCAATTCTGCTATTTCCCTCACCCCCTGTCACTTGATTGCCATCCCCAATGTTACCCTTCCTATTATTTTGTAGCAGACTCTATTCCCTTATGTTCGGTTGTCCGTACACCCTTGTTCATCTCCTGAATGACTGGCCTGTGGTCACCGTGTTATGCCCCAGCGAAACCGAACTCCCCTGGCTGTGAAACACAAATTAACAACTTGACACCTAGCTTGAGTGCTTTCCCTGGGTGGCCGCGATTCATATAACCGAACACACGTGGTCCAGTGCATGGCGGTTATTTCATCTCCCGAATGCAGGCAGCGATACCTGGTTGAACGCCTGGAACTACTTGTGGCCTCGCGAAACCGGGCAAAAATGATACCGCTGCCCATCCCACTTCCCAACCAACTAGATGAACAGCATTCGGGAGATAGGAGGAGCATTCGTCGGTGTTCGCACAGGAACCTACAAAAGCCAACCAGCCATCCTGCCCAAGCCTCTGGAACTGTTTTGGGCTATCACCTCGTGGCGCTCAGTCAAAACTTTATTCGAACAGAACTTTCGTTGTACCAAACCGATCTGAGCACTTTTTGGATATGTTATGCGCTCAGATGGGGACTATCCACAAATATGATTTGTCGGTTTACTGTATTCTTTTCATGTATTTTTGGGGTATTTAAAAAATGTATGTTTCTGTATTTGAGAGATAATAGAGTTATCCTAATTTGAGCTCAATTCTTTCTCAACCACATAGGCTCTTGGGAAGAAACCCCTGTGTTCTGGATGTGAAAACCCCATGCTAGGGGCCAGTGCATAAAAGCCACGTGTGGCAGAATAAACTTCAGTTGTATTCCCAGAACTGTGTGTCGTCCAGTTACTGGGGAGGAGGTGGGCTTTTTACTTGGCAGTATCTTGTTCTTGATTTCTACTCTTGGTGATCCAGCGGAGGAAAGTCTTAGGCAGGACCAGGGCTCTGCTACATATGTTATGGTGTTTTTTTGTTTTTTTTAAATTAATAAAATAATATAACTCAACTCCTCTAGATTATAAGATCTTTTGGGTCCAATCTTTTTCACTAATCTATTGTTTCTATTAAATTTTGCAATATTTATTGTAAACTGTCCCATGAATAATATTGTAAAGCGGTGCAAAATAAGTTGTTGGTGTATAAATGCCATTAATAATAGTAAGAGAAGATCACTTGTTTAGCAACTTAACCCCTTCTTGTCTATCAACCAGACTTTGTAATTCTATTGACGAGTTATACATTTAAAGCAATATGGTTTAAAGCAAAGAATGTTATAACATATTTTTTGAAAATGTATTTCCTATTCTGATTGGGTTATCGGTTGTATAGTTGAGTAAATGTCCTTGTTACTGTTTGTTTTATGTAAGAACTTATATGCCTTGTTGAAATCTTTTGGTCAATGCAGATAATTATTTACATTCTATAATGACATGTTTATGTCATATAGGTTATTGTCTAGTATATGTTTTGTAATAGAAAATTTGTTTCAATAAAGAATTATAAAAAAAAAAAAAAAAAGCAATGTGGTTTTCTAAAATAGTCATACTGCAAATTTGGAAAGCTTGACGTAAGACCATGCATTTTTTGCATACATAAAATTACAAAGCTGGTACATTTTTCTTTCACCAAAGAATACATTCTATTTTCAGATTAGTGTAAGGTCTTTTCAAATTATCTGTGTGAATGTTGAGAAGCTCGCATTAATTGAAATAAAATCCTCTATTATTGCACATTTATTGTGTCTTTTAACCACATTGCTGGATGATCATTACGTTTACATTCTCCTCAGACTAGGGACACTTTGCATAACCAGTACTATCATTGTCTCTCTCCTGAATCTGCTTGATATGCTCTCATCGGTTGCCCTCCCCACGTTCTCCTCTTAGACCGCTTTCTTTTTTTTTGCCATGTATATTTTTATTGAGTTTGTTAAAGAAACAAAAAAAAAAAAAAGGAACTCACGTCACATTTGCAAATTCCACAACACACAAGATCAATGACAACAACACATTGTTATAGAGCATTAGTCTGCTGATTATGATAAAGTTAATAACATATATCATAAATTGTCCAACAACGATTTAATCTCTATATGTTTATAAGCCAATAATACACTGTACAGATATGAGATAACATGATGGTATGCAATTTTACACTTAAATTACTTATTGATTCGTTACAACCTTTGTACAAAAATATTTTAGTAGATTTCCAAAGTGGAATTCAGTGCAAATAGAGGGAAGAAGAAAAAAATTATGAATACAAAAATATAGATATATATACACATCAGATATGTATGCATATTATCTGAAATTCTATTGAGTTCCAGCACTTCATGTAAACCAATAAATTATATAAAACCATTTTTTAAATTTTCTTTATAAGAATTAAAATTATATTTCACCGACCCTGACTTTCCATACATGTACACACTCCATGATTAAGCATGTGATTATTTGGACTTTTGAATGTATGGTCTGTGGGATGGAAGACTATTGATTACTAGGTTTTGATGCAATGTGAAAATTACTTTAAAAGTGTCCACTTCTTATACAGGGCCTGGACAGGCTCACTGGAACAAGGTTGGCATAGGTAAGTATCCTTTAAAGTTATCCAGCTATTTCACAATTTCTCATGAACGGTTGATTTACCTTGAAGCCTATATACCATCTTACAAAATTGCAAACTAGTACACAATACAACGGGTATGGCATTGAAATAACACGTGAAAGGATATCAAAGTCTGAGTTGTTTGTGGATCTGTCTCTGGTAAAATTATGCAGCTCCCAAAATTCAGGTAAATTGGCATGTCAGTCAGTTGCCTCTGTTGGGAGATTTCGCCATCTGCCATTCCATCTGAATTTTCAGGCAGCGATGAATTATGCATGATATGGGATCAGTTGGATTCAGTAATCCACAATCTGCCAATTTCTTGGATCCATCTTCATGTTCGAATATTGAACTGTGCTATTGTGCCAAACAAGAATCTTCGTTTGGTATTCCCAACTGTATGGAAATTTGTGGATGTGCAGGGTCTTAATGTTTATGAATTTTCTTCTTCCGGCAATAGTCACAGCACTAAATCCTTAAATATACAAATGTCCTGGTAAGGAGCTGGGTAGAGCATTTAACTTTCTGGCAGCAATAAGTAACATTTTTAGAGTGGAAGTAATAGAACCTGAATGCCGTGTCCCATGGGGTGTCCTCTGTAAAATGTGGTGGGTTAGGAAGTCTATGTACTCAATCTAGAGTCCAGGTCATGTCGCCCATATGACCCTCGGAGGAAGGAGACAGTGCCGCGTAGTCCTCACTATCTTGAGGTAGCTTAGGGCAATTTTTTTTTTTTTTTAGTCTGCAGGATCGGATGAGTTTCATCTGCTCTGATAGAGCCATAAAGGTAAGTGCAATAAGCAGCAGTAAATTTAGAATCATGTAGGTTCTGGTGTTTGCATTCAGATGCTGTTCTGGTTATGTAAACTTGGAGCTTCACTCCTAACGACAGCTCTCGACGGAAGTTGGCAATGCCCCTACTCTCCTCTTAGACTTATGGTACATCTTATTGATTATCTGAGCTTGTTTCCTCTCTTATATGGCTTCAATTGGCCACTTCCATCTTACCAATTACAACCTGTTCCAAATTATTATGCAAATTATATTTTTCTCATTTACCTAAATAATTGATGTAAATAACAGTCAGCATAATTCTCATGTTATCAACTATTAAGAGTACAATTAAAATTTTATTGAACAAACCTCCTAATGATAGTATTTTTTTTAAACATAAACTTACAATGCACTGTTCCAAATTATTACGTACAGTAAGTTTCAAAACACTTTATAGGTTGTAAAGAACTGAAAATTGTCATTTGTTGTGTTTGCAGCATATTTACTGAAATCAAAAGCTATTTCAATCAAATTTATAACATGTTAACTTTTTAAACATTTTAACAGGTCACGTTACATTTTAACATAGGACCCCTTATTTGATAGCAGCTTCACAATTCGTGCATCCATTGAACTTGTGAGTTTTTGGACAGTTTCTGCTTGAATTTGTTTGCAAGATGTCAGAATAGCCTCCCAGGGCTGCTGTTTGGATGTAAACTGCTTCCCACCCTCATAGATCTTTTGCTTGAGGATGCTCCAAAGCTTCTCAATAGGATTGAGGTCAAGAGAGGATGGAGGCCACACCATGACTTTCTCTCCTTTTATCCCCATAGCAGCTATTATTGACGCAGAGGTATTCTTTGCAGCATGAGATGGTGCATTGTCATGAAGATGAAGATGATTTTATTACAGAAAGCATAGTTCTTCCTTTTGTACCAGGGAAGAAAATGGTCAGTTAGAAACTCCACATACTTTGCAGAGGTCATCTTTACACCTTTGGGGACCCTAAAGGGGCCGACCAGCTCTCTTCCCATGATTCCAGCCCAAAACATGACTCCACCACCACCTCGCTGACGTTGCAGCCTTGTTGGAACAGGATGGCCGTCCACCAACCATCCACTACTCCATCCATCTGGACCATCCAGGGTTGCACGGCACTCATCAGTGAACAGGACTGTTTGAAAATTAGTCTTCATGTATTTTTCTGCCAATGCAGCCGTTTCTGCTTGTGAGCTTTGGTTAGTGGTGGCCGAATAGGTTTATGCACAGTTGCAAGACTCTGGAGGACTCTACACCTTGATGTCCGTGGGACTCCAGGGGCACCAGCAGCTTCAAATATCTGTTTGCTGCTATGTAATGGTATTTTAGCAACTGCTCTCTTGATCCAATGCATGGATCTGGCAGAAATCTTCCTCAATGTGCCTTTATCTGCACAAACCCATCTGTGCTCTGAATCAGCCACAAATCTCTTAATAGTGCGATGATCACGCTTAAGTTTTCGTGAACTATCTAATGTTTTCATACCTCGTCCAAGGCATTGAACTATTTCACTCTTTTCAGCAGCAGAGAGATCCCTTTTCTTCCCCATATTGCATGAAAATGGTGCTCTGCTTAAAAATGTGGAACACCCTCCTTTAGTAGTTTCTCCTTAAATTGGGCTCACCTGGCAATAATTATCACAGGTGTCCGAGATTGTTTTCAGTGATCAAAATAGCCCTGAGACACAATGCCATCCATAAGTTAAATGAAAAAACAAAATATTTAATCTTTGTGACACTTACAGTATATACTCGAGTATAAGTCTAGTTTTTCAGCACATTTTTTGTGCTTAAAAACCCCCACTCGACTTATACTCGAGTCACTGTCTGTATTATGGCAACTTAGAGAGCCGCGGCCGTCAGAGCCATGGCAACAATCC